ATTGGAGGGGTTATAAATACCCTCTTAATATCTGTCTCTGTAATAATAGTACTTACAAGACTTTGAACATTTGCTCCTAGTTGCACTTGTGTGAATAGGGACCACAAAACCTTTGTGAAGCTATGAAAAGTATGTTTGCTGGACTAAAATTACAGAATGTAGTTTATATTATACTGATGTATGAAACTAGGAAATGCAGGTAGTCCTCCCCGTAGGGCCACAATTAAGCCCAAATTTTCTGTTGCTAAGTGAGACAGTTATTAAGTGAATCTTGCATCATTTTACAACCTTTCTTGCCACAGTTGCTAAATAAATCATTGCAGTTAAGTTAGCAAAGTAGTTAAGTGAATCTGGCTTGACCATTGATTTTGCTTGTCAGAAGGTCGCCAAAGGTGGGATCACGTGACCTGGGGACACTGCAACCATCTGACATATATTGTAATTAGATGGTTCGAGACAAAGCACTTGTCAAAAGGGAATCAGCTTTGACTAAAGCCGGCTATTCTTCTGCGAGAATGTACTACTCAGCTCTACCATCTCTCAGCTCTACTCCAGAGGAGCCTTTCATATATTTTAGTTACAATATCTATTAGTCTGTAATTGTTAGGATCCTTTTTATTCCTGTTTTTATGTATAGGAACTACAGTTGTCCTCTTCCATCCAGATGGGATATGGCATCTGGATCAGGGGTGGGTTCTAAAATTTTTTACTACTGGTTCTGTGGGCGTGGCTTATTTTGTGGGCATGGCTTGATGGTCATGTGACAATTCTTTAGGATTTAGCAGAGGTACTGGTCTACCAGGCTTTTAACTGCTTGCAGAGCTGTACCGGTCTACCCATTTGTTCTTGGAGCGTTCCGGTCTACCCATTTGTTTTTGGAGGCAACGGTCTACCACCAAACTGCCTTTTAACACTGATCAGCTGTAGGATGGCCCTTTGAAGCCCCACGGCAAGAGTTTAAACAGTTTTTTTCCTTCTAGCTGTTCAGCTGGGACTCGGGAGGCAGCGAATAGATTGGGGGTGGGGCCAAATAAAAGGTAAGAATAATGTGGGGGGCGGGGGTGGGAGGGCCCAGCTCCCGAACAAAGAGAACTGGTTCGGTGACATCATATCGTCACCACTACCAGCTCAGCCGAACCGGGAGGAACCCACCACTGATCTGTATATATATGTAAATAAACTTACCTAGAGGCGGGTCCACTAGCAAGCGTATTTTTTGAATGGCTTGGCTGATGGAAGGTCCTTACCAGGCCTTTTATAATAGATTCAATCCTGTTTTCTAATATTGGTGGCCAGAGGGGATGTAGGTTCAGTAGGTAGTAAATCACTACTTAGTAACTATTTCTCAACAGATTCCAAGAGACCAACTATGTAATGATAATAGTTTTTTCCAGTCTCGGCAGAGATTGGTATATCAAATGCAAATCTTTGATCTTTCTGAATTATATATAGGTACATAGAGGTATGATTCAAAAAGCGATTAGGATTGTAAACCTACTTTTTGTACTAACTATACAGTACTGAGAATAGTATGAGCCGTGGCACAGTGGTTAGAAAGCAGTATTGCAGGCTAATTCTGCTGACTGCCGGCTGCCAGCAGTTCGAGTCTCACCAGCTCAAGATTGACTCAGCCTTCCACCCTTCCGAGGTCGGTAAAGTGAGGACCCAAATTGTTGGGGGCAATATGCTGACTCTGTAAACCGCTTAGAGAGGGCTGTAAGCGCTATTGCTTTCAGAACTCCAGCTACAGACTACCAAAAATATAGCCATGACTTCTTGCTGACAGTTCAAATTCTAACTAAATTGAAGAAGCGTTAACTGTCTATCCTCTATTTAATGAGTTATATTCTCGTTATATTTATATTCTTCCGTTACATTACATTATACTTCTCTTCTTAGAGACAGCGTTTTAGCTTGAAAATGTACAGAGGAACATCTCTGAGCAAATCTCACAGCTGCCTTCAATTTCCTTTTTATTGAACAATATTGTCAAACTAGGGAGATCTCTCTATACTGAAACTTTGGGAGCAGGATTTAATTATTTGGTGGTTGGTCAACATGGGGCACAGATTTGTGAATGCACTAAAAATTTACTGCCACTCAGCTGTAGGTGACTGGATTGTTAAAACCCAACTGATAACACAAATTGGATCAGAATGACAAAATCTGATCCTAAAAGATGGCCCGATTCCTGGCTCCTGTGGGTGATTTGCAATAATGAATGGCAAGTTGTAGGTGGATTCTCTTAGGGCAGTGTTTCTCAACCTTGGTAGCTTGAAGATGGGTGGACTTCAACTCCCAGAATCCCCCAGCCAGTGCCGCTGGCTGGGGGATTCTGGGAGTTGAAGTCCACCCATCTTCAAGCTACCAAGGTTGAGAAACTGTCTTAGGAGATGGGGTCAAGAGATTCAGCTGCAGCAGGGACTGTCTGCAGCATAGATTTAACTGAGGATGTCCAACCTTGGCAACTTTAAGACTTCTGGACTTCAACTCCCAGAATTCCCCAGCCAACCATGCAGTCTTAAAGTTGCCACGGTTGGACACCCCTGATTTAATTGTTTCAAGCTCGCTCAAAATCAACTGTTCCTCCGGGGGAAAGAGAGTAGCAAACCACTGCGTTAAATCTTCATCCTCCCCCCCCCCCCAAAAATCATATGAAACCTGTATTTTTCCTTTAATTAAAACTAAGGTATTTCTTTCCTGTGATTATCCTGTTTTGACCTTGAAGGAGTTCTCCATTTTACAGATAGTGAATGGTTGTGATTAAAGAGTGTTAGAGGTTGTGTCATCCTCCCTCGCTTGCTTGGCTCCTCTCCCAGAATTTAGCAAAGGATACAGCTCTTATCAAAAGCAGATACTGCTGGAATGCAGGGTGGATAAAAATCAATGATTTTTTTTAAAAAATCAAAAAAATCAGATTTTTTTTATTTAAATCGGATTTTTTTTTATTTTTATCGAATTTATTTTAATAAAAAACTTTGGGGATAAAAATCTATCGTAAGATAGTTTTCTATTTAAGATACATAAATAATTTAGTTTATTCAGCATGAAATGGAGCTTAGTTATGTAGCATGAGGCTGTATATTCTGCAACACTGGGACTATCGGTGAGTCAACAGTGGGTCAAAGGAGTAGCAGAGATGACAGTTGCTCTTTAAAAATTATGATTTAAATCGAGTTGATTTAAATCAAGCTTTTTTACTAGTGATTTAAATCATGGTTTAAATTGTGATTTAAATCAACTCGATTTAAATCAAATCCACCCTGCTGGAATATCCAGTAAAAGCTCCTTAAAAAGTTCTTAAGTTTGAAAAGTATTGAGGGGGAAAATAAACTGCCTTGAAAGTTAGCACTACTCTTTTAGATCTAGGGTTGCTAAGAAACCAGGGTTTCTGTAAGCTTTTGTGAGATTTATGTGCAGCTTTGAGTCAGGGTTGACTCCTGGCAACTCCCTGGACAAGTCCCTGCAGAGTCGAATCTCTTGCTGCTTTTAAGCTTTTGAAAAAGGAGATTCTATTCCTCAAGTATTGCTTAATTGCTTAACGCATTGTAAGCCGCCCTGAGTCTCCGGAGAAGGGCGGCATATAAATTAAAGCAAAAAAAAAAAAAAGTAGGTGATCCAATATCGGCTGAAAATCTCAAATTGAAAAATAGCTGGCTGGGTTTCCTTTCCTTTCAGGAGATTCAGGCAGACACTGAAATAGTTAAAAAAAAAAGTGTGGGGGGGGGGGAAGCTGACTTGCCCACCAAAGTAATGGGTGGAGACAGGCAAAACTGGGAAAGTCGAATAATGATTCAGCCAATCAGGAGAGTGGATTTCCCCTTCCACGTGGGCTTATATAGGAAGGAGGGCAGCCGCCATTTTTTTTGCCTGTGGTTTCGCTTTCTCTTTCCCTCTCGGTGCTTCCTTTCCCACCCCCAAAGTTTCAGAGAAGATGGCTGAAGGCCGGTAAGAATTAAAAGCAGCAACATGAATGGATGCATGCATGCATGTATGCATGAATGAATGAATGAAGATAGCAAGCTGGGGTCAGTGTAATAGCTGAGATTTTATGAACTGCCTTCCATCCTTTCTAAGGTGGGTAAAATGAGGACCCAGTTTGTGGGGGGAATAAGCTGACTTTGTATAAAATATACAAAAGTATGAAGGCTATAGCTTAACGCATTGTAAGCCGCCCTGAGTCTCCGGAGAAGGGCGGCATATAAAAATAAATAAATAATAAAAAAAAAAACCTGGGAACTGTTCTAATGTGCGTGTTGGTAAGAGAATCCTGGGTCCAGGATGGAGGAGGATCAACCTTCTCAAAAAGCCTTCGTTTCTTGCTTTCTCCCTTTTCCTTTCCTTTTCCCAGATCTCTGGCCTCGCTTTTCATAACAAAGGTTTGAAAATCTGGATCAGAGGTTCTCATTTTGCCAAAAGGATCTAGCCTCTTCCGCAGACTGTGAAAGGGACAGAGAGGGAAATCGGTGGCAGAGAGGTTTTCTCAGGAGTAGAGTAGCTGGTGTGAGCTACTTGGTCCTTTTCTCCAGGAGTTGCAGGGAGGATCATGCGAGAGGAGGATTTGGAGACCACTGATAGCAATCGGTTTATAATAGCTACTCTTTTGTCACCCCGGATAAAACCTCCAGTTTCTCATTCAGGATAATTTAGAAGTTGTGGCTGCTCCATCACTTAGAAGTTGAGGCTTCTAAGAAGAGGCTGGACTGCCACTTCTCTGGAATGGTACAGGATCTCCTGCTTGGGTGGAAAGTTGGACTGAGAACCTCCAGAGTCCATTCCAAATCTGTTTTTCTGTTACGATCTCTTATTCTGTTGTCTAAATTCTGTTCGTTTCAGAATTCAGCCAGCTTTGGGACAAAAATGTTTGTTGCCTCAATAAAGGTGTTTTTTTTTTTAACCACTGGGAATAAAGTTCTCATTGTCCAATTTTGTCCTGATTCTTTATGTCTGCCCTAATGATCTTTTTCCAAAACTTTCTTGTTGTTTTTCTGTCTCCTCAGTGTACCAAAGTTACCAGTGACCATGTCCAGACCCAGCAAAGTGAATGAAGCTCTGGCAGGTAATGGCCCGCCATCTTTTTTTTTCCCCCATTCCACACAATCCTATGGTATTTTACTTTGGAAAACTAATAGCCCTATATCAAAGTCTTGACTTTTTTTGTAATTTACCAGTTGGTCCAGCACACCTTCCGGAATAAGGATGCTGACTATAATTTTTAAGCAATGATTCATCTGAGGTGAAGTCATCACAAAATGTCTTCATCTCGGGTGAATCTGTTTCTTAAGAGATTCTGCATTTCCAACAGCTGCCTTGACAACCTCCAACAACCCCATCCTCTGACCTTTGGATTTGCCAGGTTGCAATATAGAGGAATTGGACCATCATTTTGTATAAGTTTATCTGCTCTTACTAGTCCTCAGCCCTTTTCTTTACCTCTTCTGGGAGATATCTAGGAATTGATATGGCAGGTCTCCGCTCTACAACTGAACTATGGTATCTAGTCAGCTACTATTTTGTTAACCTACCCTTTTTTGAATTTTTAAATTGATCCTTATTTTTACTTGTGTTAATCTGTTTCTAATTGTTTATAATGTATGCTTTTATTTATGTATTTATATTGTTTTACTATAATGTTGTGAACTGCCCAGAATCTCTTTGGTGATATGGGCAATGTAGAAATTTAATAAACAACTAACTGGGTTCCTGCAAATATATAAATCAAACATCCAGTTGCTTATTCTAAAATGGTAAATTAGTCTTTCTCACCACAGTTTTGTTTTGGGAAGTATCTTTCCCAGTTCTTTAACTTGAAAATCTGGGAACTAAACATAGTATTTGCATAAAAACACACTACTTATAAACTGATATTTGACGCAGTAGACAAGGGTGGACAGAAAACTGATTCATTTGCTCAGGATTTGCATTCCTGTCCTGGGCTTTTTAATTAATCTGGGTTTTTTTTGCAGACAAAAAGCATTTTCTAATATTAGAAAATTCAGAGTCAGATATGTAAAAAAAATCCTCATAAAGAGACTTCTTTCAATCTGGAATCCTTTTGTTTTTACATAGCAAGAATCCCATAGACAAAGAGGAAGGGGGCACTAGTGATGAAAGGATGTTCCTGGCCCTTGGAGTCACATTACTCTTTGACTTCTTTTTCCTGTTTTGAGCTGCTGCATATATTTAATTTTTATGTCCTCATCAGATGATGAAGAGAGAAGCTATAAGCCATAATTTCTGTAAATCTCATAGTGATTATGTCTTTTAATGTGCTCTTCACTGTAGCTAGAGTGCCTTAAATGACTGCAATCTTTACTACAGTGCAAAATCCGATAACTTGAAATAACCATAAACAATAAAAACGAATTGTATAGCTACATATTTTTTTATCTTTCTGCTTTTATTGCTAATGATCCCCTTTTCTCTTGCTTTGATAAAATGGTTTTCTAATGCAGAGAAGCCTTGTTTTTTTGTGACTGAGATTTCTAGTTTCTCGCTCAGATCATTCCACCCCCACCTTTACTGCTCCAAGTGGCTGCTGTAACCTTCTATAAATGTTTGGAAAGTAACTTCCTATTTTATAGAATTATAGGTCTATAACATGCTTTGGAAGTCTTTTAATCCAATCCTCTGATCAAGAATCAGGTCAAGAGTCTTCAGACTCAGAAAAACGTCTGTCCAAATGTTTGATAATTAATAAGTAATTAATAAAGCAATATTATAGGAACCGTTTTTAGATTTAGTATTTTGGATTTCAGAAAGGGGAGATACCTAAGAAAGCCACCCTGAGGGGTCTTTTACAGGAAACTCCCTGTAAAAATAGCTAAAATCAGGATTGCTGTTATTAAGCTCTCCCCACTTAGCATATGAATATGCCAAATTCCAGTCTTATCTGATTGCAACCTCTTATGCAATTCAACTCCTATGAGGACTGATTCAGAAGCTGATTAAGCAGCTCTAGCAATTGTTTTAAAATGCTAGAGATGATCTAAATTTAATAGGAAATTTAGTATGTCTTAATGAAACCAACACCCTAGGAATCTTAGCATTCATATTTTAAAGAGCATGTTTATGATCTTTAGGATTGAGGACAATCCTCAGTGAGAGAAACTGAAATGCTGCCTGAATAAAATACCTAGTGCCTATAGTGGGTTTCTTTTTCACTAGGCCAAATAGAAAATACTGGTATAATGAAATACTGCATACAAATTACCATTGCTAGTACATGGGAGCTACAAAATTTAACTGTTCCTGGCCCACTTGTTTTAATGCAGAGAGCAGACTGCAGCATTTATAGAAGCTTGCCCTTAAACAGCACTGCTGTCTCCAGGCTGATTTTCTTTGTTTCTAACATATAAAACAGATTATGTCCTGAGGAAATGCAGAGTATGTTCAGACTCTCTCAGCAATTAGGCAGGTTTTACATATGAAGGAGCTTTTACAGAGAAGCTCACTCATATCTCTTTCTCACAAGGGAGGGGAGGAGGGGCTTCAGTCAGCTACACATCAGGAGAATTGAAACAGGATCATGTGCCATTCTCGTATTCTGTCTGCGGGATCCTTCATCTGACCAAATCATATGGCAAGGGTTGACAAACTTTTCTATTTTTTAATTTCAGGCTCTACTATACAATAGCTCTGGTGCTCCTCTTCCTCCTAACCCCAAAATCTCATGAGACTTGGGCAAAATAATAATAATAATAGCCTTTATTGTCATTGTTACATCATGTATACAACAAAGTTGGTTTAGCCTCTACTGGTGCAATCCATAACAGAAAATACAGGACAACACAGTTCCCAATTTATACAAGTAATTGGGGAAAGAAAAAATATACTTTTGTTTATGGGAGACTTTGGAAGTATAGGGAGTGTTGTGTTATTAACTTGTCACACTCATGGGTTTTTAGAATAAGATCCACAGAAGGAATTAGAATTTGTTAATAATATAACCACAAAATTATTTTAGCCCAGTTCCCAGTATTATAATTATAAAAGCAAAGGTGGACTTCTGAGCACAAAGCTAAAGAGACAGCTGCATTCTGAAATAGTGATGCTCTTTCTAGTCTACCTATTTACCCTTTTTTCACCTTTTTATTTTACTCCTTGTCTTCAGCTCCACCAGTAGTCAATATCTGTTTCACAACAAAACAGGAGTGAAATCTAAAATTTGTTACTACCAGTTCTGTGGGCGTGGCTTGGTGGCGGTGGGGTAATGTGACTGGATGGGCGTGGCCAACTTTTTTTTTCTTTTAAAAGCATTTTTTCTACAACCTCTTTAGAAAAAATGCTTTTAAAAGCCTCTCACGATCCCAGCTGAGCCACGGGATCATCAGAGGCTGTTTTTTTTTACTTTTAAAAGCATTTTTTTCGGCTGAAGAGGGGCACAAGGATTTTTGCTACTGGTTCTCTGAACCACCCGCCACCATCGCTACCGGATCGGGCGATCCCGTCCGAACCAGGAGCATTTCACCCCTGCAACAAAACACAAATTTTTGAATTCTGCTCAAAAGCTTGTTTTCCCAGTTAACCATTCACTTTCTCCTATTATAATTTTTGCTGTATAATAGGCAGTTTTACATTGGGAAGTTGACCAAAGAGCAGTTGAGGTCATTGTAGCATCAACCCAGGTCCTTGGGGAAACCTTACTTAACTCCCACTCACGGTTTCTGCAGTGCTTGTAGACATTGTGAAGGTGCTTTCCTAAGTATCTTCACATCCATAAAGATAGCAGACATTTTGAAAGAAAAATGAAGTTCCTGGGAAGCATAGCTGAATTCCATGACTTCCCTGCACTTCCATGTAAAAAGAATGTCACATATAGCTTCCATATAGCTATGGAAGTCAAGCAATTTAGAACGGTCTTAAATATCTGTATAATATTTCTTATTGTGCTGTAACATCCACTAGCATGCATCTGGCTGGCTGGCTGGCTGAATGAATGAATGAATGATTGAATGAATGAGTGAATGAGTGAATGAATGAAAGAAAACAGAGACTAGGCACCAGCAGTGTACATGGAGCTGCATTTCCAAAACATAAAAGGAGGTTGGTTTTTGTTTGGTTTTGCAGCCTCACCTGTGTATTTCTTTGCTATTGCATTTCTGGCTTGTTTGTGGTGAAAGGACATTCTTTGATGAATTGGTTGTACATAGCAACCAATCTGCCTGTGGTTTGTTGTAATTCAATCAACAATGTTATAAACACATAGTTTATCACAGGGATAGGCAACCTTTTGGTGATGGGGAGACCTACAGAGAATTTTTGGCAGGACAAAGGTTGCAATGAACAGGATTTGGGGCTTGGTTGCTGCTTTTCTGGAGGGCTTTAGAGGTGATTCTGTTAAAACTATATTATGTCATTGCTTACACAGCAGTTTCTCATATATTCCTAGGCTCAAAATGCACTAGCAACTTTTAGCAGGCTTTAGGAATCACAAAAAGTTTGAAAGTAACATGCCATGGGGTGGGGGGAATGAAAATGGCTATTGTATACATTTGAGAGTCCACAGTTTTTGTTTTTTCCACAATGCATACTAACTTTCTAATTATACTATTGTATAATGATACTATTATCATGTATTAACTTTCTTAAGGGCAGGAAGTTTTTGTCTTGGCTGCTGTCAGTGCAGCACTATGGAAGTCAAGCAAATGTTGCAGTTCCTAAAATCTGCATTTACAAGCATTTAATTATTTAAATTATTTTAAATTATTTCATTAAAGGGATGTGGTGGCTCGGTGGCTGAGACGCTTAGCTTGTCGATCGAAAGGTCGGCAGTTCAGCGGTTCGAATCCCTAGTGCCGCGTAACGGGGTGAGCTCCCATTACTTGTCCCAGCTTCTTCCAACCTAGCAGTTCGAAAGCACGTAAAAAATGCAAGTAGAAAAATAGGGACCACCTTTGGTGGGAAGGTAACAGAGACATCTTCGGATAGCGCTGGCTCTTCAGCTTTGAAACGGAGATGAGCACTGCCCCCTAGAGCCGGGAATGACTAGCACATATGTGCGAGGGGAACCTTTACCTTTTACCTTAATTCTAAATTGAACATAGGAGGTTTTTCCATTTTCCTCAAGCAGAAAGAAAAAGAGTGGAAATGCTGTTCTGAAGCAGGCTGTTGCTTGTGTGGCTTCGCCCCATATCCTTGTCTCTTCCAAATTGAAGAAATTGTGTCTGCCTTCCCCTTGCCTCAAAACAATCCACTGCCTTCCCTGTTAAACATGTTGCTTGCTTTCCTTTGGGGGTTTGCTTTGTCGCTTGTTTTTGAAATGAGCATCGAATCAGAGGTTCTTGAATCGGGGAGGGATGGGTTCCTTTTTTTAATCTCACAAATGGTATGATGAAATTTTTCTTTCCACCCCCTTCTCCCTTACCTGCCCTGTGCATGACTGTCTCATGTCCCTTGTAGGCATGATGGCCTTTCTGATGTCAGTCCCTGGATTTCCTGTGCACCTCACCCAAGCGCCTCAGCCTGCCCGTGCCCATAGAGCCTCTAAAAAACTCTGCTCAGTTAAGGGAAGGAGGAGAGTGGTCACCAAAGGTAGCTCTCTGACTTGCTTGGACTCGCCGAGAGTCTCCTTCAGTTGCTGCTGCTGCTGCTGCTGTTTCTGTTGCCATCTTTGCCTCCTGTTTCTCTTTCCTGCCCTGCGTTTCCTCCTCCTTATTTTTCTGACTTTTGACCAGAAACAGTTTGATTAAAAAACAAATGGCTTTGGTTACTCTTTCTACTAAGGCAGGGGTGTCAAACTCGGATTTCATTGAGGGCCGCATCAAGGTTGTGTTTGACCTCAGGGGCCGGGGTGGGCGTGGCAGCTTGACGTCACTTGTGTCTGGTGTCCCGAGCAGTCTGCCAGCGAAAACGGACTCCTGAGCTCAGTTTCTGGCCATGACGGCCTCCTACCGTCCTCTGCCAGTGCAAATGGAGCTTGGGGGGGAGGGGCACGCGCTGCCCTCCCAGGCTCCGTTTTATCTGGCAGAGACACTGCAGGCCAGTCCTTTGCTGTTTCCAGGGCGGGTCAATTCCAGCCAGTGGGCCTTGAGTTTGATGCCCCTGTACTAAGGCCTAGCTTTCCTGTTGCCCGAAAATTTTGACACAATTCTGCTTTATACGCTGCTGCTTTGTAGGTCTTTATTTTTCAGCATCAGCACGATCATTTTAGCACTTATGAAGACCACCCACATACCCAAATAGAGAAGCCAGCTGTGGCAAGGTTGTTTTTCCCTCCCCACTAAATGAAGAAATATGGTAAGGAGAAGATGTGACAGAGTAGTGCTTATACAGGTGGCCCTTGCTTAACAGCCACTCATTCAGCAGTTGTTCAGACTTGTAACAGCACTGAACGAGTGGTACTTACAACTAGGCTTGAGGAGTTCTGACTGTTGCAACATCCCCATTGTGATGTGGTTGCTGTTTGCAGCCTTCCTTGTCTGTTTCCAATAAGCCAAATCCATGGAGAAGCCAGCAAGAGGTTGCAAATGGCAGCCACATGACGTCCTTGTTTTAACAACGGCAGCTGTGAGCAGCTGGAATTGCCATTGCTAAGCAGCACAAAGTGTGACTGCAGTTTGTGATTGTTTCGTTTAGCAATGTCTACACCAGTTCCAGCTGCTGTCATTAACCGAGGACTACCTATATAGACTAATGGACATTCACATTGCATTTTATTAAATTATTTGCATCATTTATTTCTATATCTCTTCCATACAGTTGCAGCTTGAAGCAGTTAAAGCAGAATTGTAAAAAACAACAATGGGAAAAGATTTTTAAAATGGGGGAAAGGAAGGGTAAACTATTCATCCAACATTTGTTCATTGAAGGCATTGATGAGGAAACATGGCAACTGAAGATTTAATCAGTACTGGTTACATCTGGTATTAAAATGTTTTTAGGATTTGTAGTTTTTTGAACTTAGAATTTTAATTTGTCTTAATTAAAATCTTAAAAAGTAATTTTGCACCAGTCGTTGCCAAATCCTCTTTATATTATTTATACACTTTCTTACATATTGCATTGATGATGTTCGTCCATCGTGTTCAAAGAGGACCTTGACTTGTCTTCGAACATACTACATTAATTAACCTGTGGATTCCTTACACAATATCCATTGATGGGCACTAACTTGGGTGGCTTTAGGGGATTGAATAAACTCATGGAAATCAGCTCTGGATACTTGATGCTGCCCCTAAATTGAGGATATTAATGCCGCAAAATACCAGTTGCAAGGAAACAATGGGAAAAGGTAACGAGATGGCTGCTTGTGAGTATGTCAGATCTTGGCTCTTCTAATCCACGATTGGAAGATGCTTTTGGGACAAATGAGGACCCAGATTATGGGCGCAATAAGATGACTTTGTATAAATATACAAAAGTATGAAGGCTATTGCTTAACACATTGTAAGCCGCCCTGAGTCTCCGGAGAAGGGCGGCATATAAATTAAAGCAAAAAAAAAAAAAGGGAGGAGGAGCACCAAAAGAGTTAGAAGAGTTGCTTGGAGAGATTAAAACTAGGTAGCCATCCATATATTAATTGGTAATATAAGCAGCTGTATTGGGAAAAAAATACTAACAGACTCTCTGAGTCTTTTGATTTTTGGAAAACACCAATTTTTAAAAATATTGCTGGCACCATGGTAGAATTGGATTTATTGGTTAGAAGTGTAATTTGGAAGCTCTACTTTCAAGTCATGCTGCCACACTCACTCCAAAATAATCCATTTAAAGTTCCTATATTGATGTTAATCTTCTCTCTCAGCTCCTTTCATGATTGGTGGCATAGCAAGTGGGGGATGGGATGGGGGTGTTATCTTCTGTGCCTTATTTACTCAGATCACCTAAAAAGTTAAAAACCTTAATAATTATTTGAATTGATAATATGAGGTATCCAATTTAGAGATATAGAATTCTGTTTGTTTACATAATAATATACTTTGAGACGGGTGGGCTTCAAAAATTTTAGCAAGGGATTCTCTGCCCAGTTGCTGGGTGGGCGTGGCCATGGTGGGTGTGGCCTAGTAGGGCTCCTGCACCATGGTGGGGGAGGCATTTTTGCCCTCCCGAGCTCTGGAGGCTTTCTTCAAGCCTCTGGGAAGGCAAAAACGGCTTCCCCAGGCTCCGGAGGCCCCCTGGAGGCTGGAAACAGGCCCTTCCCAAACTTCTGGTAGGCCCATTTTTCGCCCTCTCTGAGCCTCCACGCACGCCCTGCACTTACCTGTATCCAAAATGGGCCACGTGGAGACTCCTGGGAAGGGTGGGGTGGATGGGGCCATCCAAGAGTGGGATTTGAGGGTTCTTCGAACTGCAGAATTTTAGCTAGAGATTCTCCCGAACCCCCAGCAGCCAACCCCTGCTTTGAGACAAGGGCTTCTCAAAGCTGCCTCTTGCCTTTCTTTTGTCTCCAAGTTCCCCTAGCTTCCTCCTTTTCTTTCCTTATACAAAAGTGTCCACTTAAAACATTTTTCCACATGGGCAAAAGGCAAGTAGCCTACTATTTCATCACAAATATTGGCATTTTCTTGTCTTTTAGAATAAGCTGGTGGGGAGAGGAATGTGTTTGTGGAAGAGTACATAGAGTACATTGTGGTTTTTTTTTCCTATCCTCATTAATCTGTGTTTATACATTAGCAGATCCTTATTTTTCTTAGATGCAAACCACTCTGCTGTAATTAACAGCTGTGAAAACCTTCACAGCAGCACAGTGCCTCTAGCCAGCTTGATACATGTACATGCAATCACCCCACACGCCACCCAGAAGACCTCAGAATTGAGCAGAATTGTTTATATGTAAATATAGGAATGAAACATTTCTGCAATCTCTTGCGCTTTCAGCCCTTTAATATATTTTTTTCCCAAGGCGGATTTTGAGGGCTCTTCCTTTGAAACCCACACAGACTACCACTAATCCCTGAATCACTGGTTGGGATCCATTTTGCACTTGAAATAATCCCTCTAGCCTACTTATGGTTGGGCTTCCCTGGCTCTGCTGCCATCCCATAATAATGTTCTTGGTTTTAGCATTCATGGCCTGATCTATGGAAATGGAACACTCCTCCCCCAAGAAAATATACATGATTAGTTTAGTTAATCTAGAAAGCCTAGTTCAGGGGTCTCCAACCTTGACAACTTTAAGACTTGTGGACTTCAACTCCCAGAATTCCTCAGCCAGCTGGCTGAGGAATTCTGGGAGTTGAAGTCCACAAGTCTTAAAAGTTGCCAAGGTTGGAGACCCCTGGCCTAGTTCCTCAGTCTGTCAGGCTAAAGATAAGCATTTGCTTTTAACTATTTAATATCAGGCAAGTTATAGCAGGAAAAATAGCACAATACTCAGAACTGCGTTGTGAAATTACTTTTTGAGATCTGTTCTAATAACTGCTAGAAAGTTTCCAGTATTTTATGTTAAAGGCCTCTAAAAACATATTTCAACTTGTTTGCATTAAACTGGATTCTGGAATCATCCACTAATACGTTTTTTTTCCTTAGGGAACACGGTCATATCCTTTACAGAACATTTTTCTCTTTGTATGTGAGTTTAGTGAAAACTTAAGTACGAACCTATTTATACTTTTTAAGAATATCGTACAGGTTTTTACTTTAGCCACTTTTATGTTTTGGAGATCATTATACTGTTGTAATTCTTTTAATTCTTTTAAAAATGCATAAACCTACAGGAGAAGCCCTCAGCTTGCATAATTGACCATTAAATGTTTCTCACTGTGTTTATGGGAGTCTTTTTGTATGCTGCTCGGGAATTATTCAGCCAATAAATTTAAATAAATAATAACCAGCTGATCACTTCCATCAAGTGACAGCAGAGGGTTGGCTTCCAGCATTCATTGACACAATTGCTTGCAGAACAGAATGGCAGTACATAGGTGGACCAATTTTTTTCTGTTTCAGCCTGGGGTCTGTTAGTCACTTTCTCAAGCTTATTTTAAGATCTTTTATTAATTTTTTCACCTCAGAATTTTGCACCCCAAAATTATTGATGGTTTTCTGATCAAATCACACATCTCCATAATTCTCCCTGATCAGTTCCTCAAACCCAGAAAGCCTTATGTGTTTGGAAGGAGTGAGCTTGACTTCTCAGATCACTCTTTTGTTGAAAAGCCATTACCCATTACATTACATCCCTTCCTTGCCTTTTGACCTGTAGACCCAGAGTAGCTTCACAAATAGCTTCAACCATTTTCTGAAATGAATAGGATGTACATGCACAGAAGTGTTCTTTTGTGAGTTCACAAATTTTGGTAGTTGGAAAAAATAAATACTGGGTTTCTGACCATGTAGGTTTTTGCCACTATTGCAATGTAGATTTTTGTTAAGGAGAGAAAGGTTATGGCAAGGACATTTTCAAAGCCTCCTCACCCCAAATGTTGTATATCGGATATGGACTTTAACTCCCAGAATTCCCCAGCCAGCATGGAAATAAAATGGGAGTTAAATCTTGATGCATCCAAAGGCAAAACTAGCTTCAAAGTTTAACTCCCATTTTATTTCCAAACTCTGTAATAAACTAGAACAATGTTTCTCCACCTCAGCAACTTCAACAGGTATGGACTTCAATTCCCAGAATTCCCCAGCCTAGAGTAAAATGACATCCTTAGCCATAATTGATCTTCTAATTCTTTTTCCCGCCCATAGATGCCTTTGCCTCTGCAGCAAAAGGAATAGCCATATTCCTTACTTGCATACCATTAAAACTGGCTGCTTTCAGATTAGACATTCAAGAATGACTGTGCTGGATTAATTTTCTGGAAACATCTCTTCTTTCTTCTTTGCCTGCCAACTTAACTTGCCTATGCCTCCTGCTGCTCCCCTTCACCTCTTTTACCTCATCATGCCTTAGTGCCGAATGATATCCCCTTCTGGGATCTCTCTCTTTCTCTCTCTTTTTTCTTCAGATAGCAAGACCAGGCCGGAAGAGGTTGTGAAGAAATATTTGGAAGAGCTGAAGACGCCTCCAGTTGACGAGGTATGTGGAAGAGATGCACATAGCAGTTTGTTTATCTGTATTTCACATTTCTAAACCGTCCATCTCCCTCAAAGAGCATTGTTGAGTGGGTCATAGAAACCTTTCTTAACGCCAGCCTCTGCCAATTGAACACCTTCCCAGGTGTCGATTACAGTTCTCATCATCCTCTTGGACTAGAAGACTTCCAGAGTCCCTTTCAACTCTATTCTAGGTTCTAAAGTCCTACAGAGATACGAAGCAGCCCAAGAAAATTTGAAGGAGGGAAATTGTCCATGGGGAAGAGATTAAATGTTTCTTCTCTCCTAGAGCAAAGTGCCATACAGTTGTCTAACAAGAGCCTTAATCTGGAAGGGGATGATTGGTTGTTATGTTGTTTTCAATTCCCCGAAGCGAAAAATGTAAAAGAGGTGTTTGTTTTCCAGGACTGCATCATCTGTATGGAAAAACTGGGTGCCCCTTCAGGGTACGGCGATGTCAATGAGAGCAAGACAATCCAACCTGGAAGTGTGGGGAGGCTGGCCAAATGTGCTCATACCTTTCACCTACTTTGTGTGCTGGCCATGTACACCAGTGGCAACAAGGTAGGCCACTCCAGAAGTTGTGAATGCTCCAACACTGGAAGTTTTTAAGAAGATATTGGATAACCATTTGTCTGAAGTGGTGTAGGGTTCCTGCCTGGGCAGTGGGTTGGACTAGAAGACCTCCAAGGTCCCTTGCAACTCTGTTATTCTATTCTATTCTATTCTATTCTATTCTATTCTATTCTATTCTATTCTATTCTATTCTATTCTATTCTATTTTATTCTATTCAGTGAGGAGGGGATTGGCTGTTGCTTACCTTGCTTCAGAGCACCAGATGTGGATGCCACAGTAACCAACCTCACTTAATGATAAACTTAGCAATCTGGTGGCTGTCTTCCTATAGAATTACTGAGCAGTGGAATCCAGAAACACTCATGTAATGAATAGAAGTTTAATATTGGTAGTCATTAAAGCAACCAACAAGACCTTAACATCTTCTGCCAGAGCTCCTGTGGGCATTAGAAAAAGCCAGAAAATTCTCCCTTTTTATAATGCTTCATGGTCTGGCTTTGGGGCTAGATGTTTCACCAGAATCAGAAGCAGCAGTTTGATACTCATACAACCAGTAGATTCCTTGGCAGTGAAAAAGAAATTTAAATAATAACTTTTATCATTTTTTTTTTAAAGTGTAATAAAGCCACTTCATTAAAAGACTATCACGGAGTACCCACATATGATCATAATGGGCAAAATGAAAAGCAAAAGATGTAAAGATAGTATCAGGCACACCACTTGAGGAAAGCATCCTATAAACAGCATGCATCAACTAGAAGAGTGCTTGACAGGTGTCATGTAGCCACTCTTGTTAAAGTAGGAGGAACTATAATAGGGAATCTCGTTTCTCGTCGGCAAAGCACATGGGAATGGATGCTCCTTCAGATTTGGAAGGAGAAGGTATTTTATATGAGAATAGATGCAAGGGTGCTCATATGTGTCTTTTCTATCCCTTGTCTGTGAAACGTGCTCATCAAGACAAAAGTCCTTTTGCTTTTATAGAGTAAGAAGGAAGAAAGTGGCTTATTAGAAGCAGCCATAGGTTGCCAATGGCATCCAACATTTTGCAGGCATCCAGTTCATGGGAGGCTTTATGCAATCCTGAACTTAAAAAGGAAGAGAGATTTCCAGAGATCTGTAACTTGCATAGCCCTTATTTTATACTCATTATAACATTTTAAATATATATATTCTATCAGGACGGCAGCTTACAGTGTCCCTCTTGTAAGGCCATCTATGGTGAGAAGACAGGCACACAGCCCAATGGCAAGATGGATGTTCACAAACTCTCAGAGTCTCTACCAGGGCACGAGAATTGTGGGTCAATACAGATTACATACAATATCAACAGAGGCATTCAGGTGAGTATGGCGTATGTAACTAAAACCTATCCTGAGGGAGGGGCCTGATGGTAGAGCAAAGTTAGAAAGCCAACATAATGCTGTAGGCCAGGGGTGTCAAAGTCGCGGCCAGCATGTCAGATGTGTCACGCACTAGCCCCGCCCACCCCCTGGTTTAGCGAAGGGGCGGGAAGTTGCAATATGTCACGTGTCGAGTTAGACCACCCCCTGCTGTCGGCCCTTGGAGAGCCACTGCATTTCAAAGTGGAAGGTACTTGGCTAGGTGGGAATGAGAAAGATTGAACAGATGGATTCCTTTCTTAGCAAATCTTCCTTCAAGGTGCAGTGATAATGTCTTCCTAAAAAAAATAATCCTAGAAATCACATAGGATGCACATCTTATGTATGTATATCCCTGGTATATAATGCTATGATCCATACTATTTCCATTAAAGGGCAGAGCACTAGTGGAAAATGTTCCTCCACATGCTCCCTCCTGAAGCCAAATGCAACTTGGGATTTCTAATGGGTTTTTTGTTTCTCAAAAAAATCTTTTCTAGATAAATTTAGAGTTGCTCTCTTTCATTTCTCACAAAAACAAATGCACATAGATACATTGAAAGAATTTTATTATACTCTGAGCAGTTTATTTACGTCCGTTTGAAACAGTCGTCCAATGTTTGGGTGTTTCCCATGGTTCTAAAAAGGATAAAGAGACATTAACCGGCACAGTTGGTACCCAATGGCTGGGTTGACACTTCAAACTTAACCTGTAATAATTGACCAGCATTTATTGTACAATGTGTTGAGCTACGTAGCTTAGCTTGAACCTTGGCTTGCTTTTGATGCCTTAATGTGTTGTGCAGATCCTGCTTTTTTTATTACAGTGTGGTTCAGCAAATTATGTGAATCCAGAATGTTGATTAATTCATCAACTAAATTAAATCTATTATGGGCTCCAAGCCAGTGTGTGTAAATGAGTGGATCTGCATGTATAAATGTTCTCTGCTTTTATTTTTGCAGGGTCCAGAGCATCCCAGCCCAGGGCTGCCATACACTGCAAGAGGATTCCCACGATATTGTTATCTACCCGATAGCGAGAAGGGACGAAAGGTACAGTGATGCTAAGATCTTGCCTGAGTTGATGTATTGCGATGGAATAAAGAATAGGAAGTTAATTCTCCTTTTTCTGCCCAATCAGCGGCTTAACTAAACGAAGGCTATTCATGATCAAAAGGAATGACTCAAAATCACGTAAAGTATTAGTACCCACTTTATGAAGCCTTAGTAAGACCACATCTGGAATACTTCATCCAGTACTGGTCACCACCTTACAAAAAAGATGTTGAGACTTTAGAAAAAGTGCAAAGAAGAGCAACCAAGATGATTAAAGGCCTGGAGACTAAAACATATGAAGAACACTTGCAGGATTTGGGTTTCGTTAGTCATTGTGGTTAGGCTGCCACAAAGAAGAGGGGGTCAATTTATTTTCCAAAGTACCAGATGGCAGGACAAGAAACAATGGATGGAAACTAATCATGGAGAGAAGCAACTTAGAATTAAAGAGAAACTTCCTAATAGTGAGGACAATTAACCAGTGGAACAGCTTGCATTCATACATTGTGGGTGCTCCATCACTCTCTGTGGGACCAATGCGCTCCCACAGAGAGGGTCTCCTCAGGGTGCCGTTGGTCAAGCAATGTCGACTGGCGACCCCCAGGGGGAGAGCCTTCTCTGTGGGGGCACCCGCCCTCTGGAACGAGCTACCCCCAGGACCTCCATACTTTCTGCCGGGCTCTGAAGACCTTCTTTCAGCAAGCCGGGCTGGCTTAAAATTTTTAATTGTTTTATGGGTAAGGGGTTTTAAATTGGGGAAGCCAAATGGATTTAATTATGTTTTAAATTATTTTAACTTTCATATTGTATGTATTTTAATCCTGGCTGTTCACCGCCCTGAGTCCCTCGGAGAAGGGCGGTATAAAAATTTAATAAATTCAATTCAATTCACTGGAAATTTCTAAGAAGAGACTGGACAGCCACTTTTCCTGTTTGAACAGGGGGCTGGACTAGAAAACCTCCAAGGTCCCTTCCTCCTCTATTCTGATATGATTGTTTAAGGTTTTTTTTAAAGATTTTGAATTTTTCACCATTGAAAATGCAGCTTAAATCCAGTTCTTCTGATTGAACTGCTTAGTAAGAACAATTCAGCAATAGTGCCAGTTATTGGGGAGGTAGAGAGCTTCCTTATGCAAGCAGAAGTTGCAGAAGTCCTTCAGAGAGCGTAATATGGTGATCACAGGGACATCTTCCAACTTTTCATGTGGGATGGAAGTAGAATTTAGATCTCAACGAAGTGAAGTGGGCACATAAAAGATTGGAGTCTTCTGTTTGTGGAATGTGAGACGCTTCATGTTAGCCTCTTTCTTTTCTCTTTAGGTGCTGGAACTTTTAAAGGTGGCGTGGAGAAGGCGCTTGATCTTCACTGTAGGAACATCTAGCACAACTGGCGAGAACAACACTGTGGTGTGGAATGAGATCCACCACAAGACAGAGATGGCCTCCAATGTCTCAGGCCATGGCTACCCAGACCCTAACTACCTTGACAATGTGCTAGCGGAGCTGGCAGCTCAAGGGGTCACAGAAGATTGCCTGAGTCCATGAGTTTAGCCTCCATCTTGGGCTGGAGCTGCAATCAAAAGTGGAGTTCGTCTTCTCCATGACTATGGGTGCCTCTCCGTTGTGGATGGCAGCTACAAATCCCCACCTCTGTTGCCTTACGTTTGCTTGCCCTTTTGCTGAGCAATAACACAGTCTCTGGGATTGTCCAGTATGATTGTGAAGAGAGGGTTATATATATAAAAAGATATTTTAAGGGCATTTACAGTCCTGACACAGATTGGTCATATACAATAAACCTCCCTTCACTAGATAAAACACATAAAAGGTGTTTTAAAGATGGTGGCTTAATCCTCATATTGTGTCCTTCCATATGTGGTTGCATGAGTGTTGAAGATACGCCAAGTGGCTGGAAGTGAAAGAACACATACTGCTATTTGTTCGTTCTTACTTTCGATCAAGAATCAGATGCTGCTTTGAGGCAGAACTTTTGGAACCAAGGGATATTTCCTTGCTTCAGTGCATTAACAAAATCATGTTGTTTAGCAACAAAATCAGTACTAGAATCTGAAGATATATATAGCAGCTTTCCACAATTTGCTGTCAAAGTCTGCTAGAATATGGTTATGGCTATGCCTGTTCCAAATAGTATCACAGTGGGCGGTAGCACATAGCAGCTTGGATTTTAAAAGAAAGCCAAGTGAGGTGGGAAAAGATTTATGCTTGCATAAGAGGCTAGGATGAAATCCCAGGTCTGTAAGCTACGGTAGTTTGGGAAGTTGGGGAGGAAAAAAATATCTGAGAAGGCTATTTCTGTCCTGTTACCGAGAAAACTACTTGGACGTGGCCAGGAGGAATTGGGTTTGACTTACCATATTTTTCGGAGTATAAGATGCACTTTCCCCCCCCCAAAAGAGGGTGAAAATTTGGGTGCATCTTATACACCGAATGTAGCCCCACCTACCCACCGGCCCCCACCCTTTGGCCTCTGCCTCCCAGCAATTTACCTCCTTGCAGCAAACAGCCCATTTCAGCTTCAGCACAGCCTGTTTAGCATAAGCAGTTTATTTATTTATTTATTTTATTAAATTTCTATACCGCCCTCCTCCCGAAGGACTCAGGGCAGTGAACAGCCAAAAGATAAAACACAGAGATACAAAATTTAAAATAGATTAAAACAGATTAAACAATTTGGCTAAATTTTAAAATATCCCATAATTAAACAAATTAAAATTAATGTTTAAAATTTAAATTGAAAAATTTTAAAAGGGAGAAGATTTAGGCCAGGCCAGCTTGATGAAATAAAAACGTTTTAAGCGCACGACGGAAGGTGCGCAGATCCGGGATCCTCCGTATCTCTGGGGGGAGCTCGTTCCAGATCATAGGTGCCCCCACAGAGAAGGCTCTCCCCCTAGGGGCCGCCAGTCGACATTGTTTGGCCGACGGCACCTGGAGGAGCCCTTCTCTATGGGAGCGTACTGGCCGGTGGGAGGCTATTGGTGGTAGCAGGCGGTCCCATAGATAACCAGTTGATTGTCGGTTGGATCAGCCTCCTGACCCGTAACTGTTTCAGGCTGCAGGGATTGCCTATTGCCGTGCTGGCCTCCGCTGTTTGCTGCAAGGAGGCAAATCGTTGGAAGGCCGATTTTCTTTTCTTGTGCTAATCAGGCTGTGATGAAAATGAAACTAAAGCAGGCTGTTTGCTCTTTGCTGCAAGGAGGCAAATTGCTTGGAGGCAGAGGCAGATTTTTTTTTCTTGTTTTCCTCCCCCAAAAAGGTAGGTGCGTCTTATAGTCCGAAAAATACGGTAGACTTTCTAGGTTTCTTTCCAGTCAATGCAAGAAGAGAGAAGAAAAGGAATAAAAGTTACAATCCTACCAAAAGACATCAGTTTGGAAGAACGATAGGGAGAATTGTCACTTTTATGCAAGGAATTGCATAAACCAGGCATTTTGCAGTCATTCTAGCTGGTACCTACAATTCCCCAAGTAAATTCAAAAAAATGTAAATGCAGCCATGTGAGCCTTCCGCGCTCTCATGCAAACTATTGGGGGTTCTTCCCTGAAATTTTGTGAATCTCATAGTTTGGCAAACTTTTAAATCGATGATTTTTCTTTTTGCTGTTCTTTGGCTTTGATACCATGTACAACCACACAGCACTGACCCAAAATTGCTAATTTACGAGGCATTGCCCATAATTCTAGAATTTTCAGTATCGGGTTAGCTTTTTGTTATATCCAGGCCCAGTAAAATAACCTTTCAGTATTTCCATTTTACAGATTTTTTGAGTGCAGAGTCAAGATCACACTTGGGTATATACTTCAATTTAGGGCTGCATGCTGCAGCTTGAAGACTAAAACCCTGAAATGTTTCTGCTTTATGTAATTGGAGAACCAATCTTTTTTTTTTTTTTTTGTATGTATCGACAAAAACTGGATTCTGTAAATTGCATAAATTCCTCATATTGGATAACTTTATTTTGCATAATCTGCTTATTTTGTTCAACATGGACAGAAGTAAAGATTGAGGCAGAGTCCTGAAATACAGTTTATACAGTTTCATTTGGGATTTCAGCTGTGTTTGTTTTGTTTGTTCAGAGGTATTTTGTCACAGCTGTAACCAGGAGAAACTTTTTCCTAAAAGAAAAATTTCTGGAAAATTAAGGTTCTCAGAAATCTCAACTTGGTGACTAGTGGGCCATTTTATATACTAGTTGGTTACAGAATTATAGCCCATAGTTATAGGGTGATACAGGTGCTCCTTGATTTGAACTTCAGCCATTGAGCAATGCAGTCATTAGATGAGTTGCATCCAACTTTGCAACCTTTTTGCTACCATTAAATAAATCACACAACCCAGCTTCCCCTATTGACTTCATTTGTTGGAGTCCCCCTGGCAAGGTCTCAAAATGGTGAGACACCCCCCCAACCATTTTAATTGCATGCCAATTACCAAGCACCTGAATTTCTTTAATGTAACTACAGGAATGCTGCAACGGTTATGTGAGAACCTGTCATAAATCACTTAGCAACCACTGACTTAATAACTTGTTCTGGCTCAATAACAATTGTAACTCGAAGGCTACCTTTGGTATATGTCAGTGTTAGCGAACCATTTTGGCACCAAGTGCTGAAATGGGAGCACATGCGGGGGGGGACGCACTGGAAACCGGAAGAGCAGCTCCCTAGTGCGCACACTCATGGGAGTGCCAGAAACAAAGAGCAGTTCCCTGGTGCGCATGCAGGGAGCTGCTGTTCCGGTTTCCGGCGCTCCCGTGTGTGCGAAGACCATGTGCGCGCCAGAACCCGGAAGAGCAACGGGTGACGGCTGGCGTGCCTGGAGAGATGGCTGTGCGTGCCACTTCCGGCATGCGTGCCGTAGGTTTGTCATCATGGGTATATGTGAAAGTCCAATATCTCACATTTCCATCTACATGTTGAATTTCAAGCATTTTTAACAATGTAACTCTGCATTCCTTTTTGTCAAGCACCTCCCTCAACCCCCTGCTTTAGTCTAAACTGCTGACTTCAAAAATATTCAGACCCAAAAATGTTTCCTCAGTTTTACATACCAGTTCTATGCTTTTAACTTAATTTTGAAAAGCAGCATGAACATGAAAACCCTTAAGTCCCTTTGCTTGGAGCATTTTGCGCAGTGAAACTGAAATAGATGACAACTGAGTGGTAACCTGGGTCCTTTCCCATCTTTGTTTAATTGGTTTTAAAAAAAATTGAAGAAAGGAAGGGATTTTTAATCCAAATATCTTGCATTGAGGAAAAAATTGCTTGGGATCTACAGTAATTTTCAATCTGAGGACAAAAATTGGAGCCTTGAAATTGATTGCTTATCACACTTTAAAAGCAATATATTCATCTCTGTTTTATGTAGCAATTTTCTTCCCGCTCATCCTATAAGAAGTATCTTCCTGATTCTCTTAATTTATATTTAAAAGTATAAGGAAATACTTTTAAAATAATGGCAAAAACAGGGGAGGGGTAAATTGACCTAACCATCCTAAATTACAAGAGCTTGGAACGGTGGAATTTCTAAAGTGGGTCTGGTACATACAATTAGGCATTGAAACAAAAAGGCTGTTTTACCAGAACTGGCCATTAGAGGGAAGTAAAGAGTCGCACACAGATGGCAAATCAGATCCATCCTGCATAGGATTTCTATTGTTCAAAAATAAGGTGGATTTTCTACTTTCGGCAATTTCTGGAAATTATCTTCCTCTTGGAGCACATATCCCAGTGCCAAGTTTGCATTTGATGACAGTTTTGGAGATCAGCAACTTTTTGGCAAAGTCTGAATTGGGTTTAGTTTCCACTTTTCCCTCGTGCTTTTTGTCATGGTTATTCTATCTCTTGGAGCTCACATTTTGCTAAGGGGGGTGGGATTAAGTAACTTCTACATCGTTCAGTAAATAAAAATAACAAAATGGGAGGAAAATGCATTTTAAAGTGAAAAGCAGAAAAGCTTGCTCAGGTAACAAAAAATACAACTTAAAACGAATTAGAATGGTCAAGAAAAATGGAAGCAAAATCCCTTCAATTGTAACACAGCAAAGATAAGCAGTACCTACACGCATCTGAGAGGCATCTAAAGAATTTCTTCCCCCAAAGTGGGGGGGCAATATGTGAATGAAGATTCTCAGTCATCCAGTTAAAGTCTGAAAGTTGAACCATGGCAACTGGACTTAACTTTATCGTGCTCAACATCTAATAACCACACACTGCCTTGGGAATATAAATCCTATTTCCCACTATCCTGTCAGAGCTGAAGAAGCTTCTTGGATGAGAAGCTAAACGTCTTCAAAAGAAAAACAGTCCAGTTGCCTCCTGAAAAAGCACCTTTGGAGCAACCAGGACCTGGATAACTGGGAATCTCTATGGACTTTTACACACTGCCATAGTTGCTGTTTCCCAACAATTTTCAAGAGTAATTCCATACACATCACTTCAAAATCCTGCCTTAAGATTCAGGCCATATACCTATGTTTTAACTAAAATTACTAAAATGTAGGAAGCTTCCTGTTGATAAAACATGGGGAGACAACATTGGGCTAAACAGGTCTTTCATTGGGTGCAGCTTCCATCTTTTTCTCAATCTACACGCTGGCCATCATTCAATCCCATCATTCTCTTATCAATTCTTCACTCCCGAGTTAAGGTCCATATGGTTCTTTGCCTCTAGAACAAAGTCCTCCATTAGTAAATGAGTATCATGAGTTATTTCTAGAGGCAAGGAAGCAAATGGACTTTAATCCAGGAGAGGAGAATTGATAGAGAATGATGGAGCTGAATGATGGCTGGATGGAAGACTGGGTAGGGATTTTGGATACATGCATGCATACACTTTACACTTGTGGGCTGGAAATATGGGGCTGGACAGATGTTGGATTAAGTAACTATCCTCAGATTTAGAAAACCTTTATTTTGTTCTTATTAATCATAATATATAGGTAGTCCTCATTTAGCAACTGTTCATAGTTACAATGTTGATGAAAAAGTAAGTTTGCAACCAATCCTCACATTTACAAACTTCATAGATCTGTAGCACAAAGGAAAGCTGAGGTAAAATTGTGATGTTAATGATCAGCTTTCCTTTGCTTTACAGACCTGCAAAGATAAATGTAACCATTGGTCATTATATTACTTTTCCATCACTGTCATAACTGAATGGTCACTAAATGAAGCAATCACTAAACAAGAACTACCTGTACTGCATGGGTGTCAAACTCGCTGCATCACATTGCCATCGCATGACGTTTTTCACATTCACGGTGGTGGGGTGGGCGTGGCCTGTGCATGACATATCCGGCCCATGGGCCACCAGTTTCCCTGCTGTACTGTGTAAGAGATGCAGAGTGTATAATAGGCAGACAAAATGCTGGTATGTGAAAATATTGGCCATAAAAACAGCTGTTCCCCACCAAAAAAAAAAAAAATGTAAAAAAAGAGTCGGAAAAGCATGGGCTACTAAATGTCAGATGCTTGGCAGCTGACTCATATTTATGACGGTTGCAGTGTCCCAAGGTCATATGATCACCTTTTGTGACCTTGACAAGCAAAGGCAACGGGGACTCCAGATTCACTTAACAAATGTCTCACTTAACAGGAATTTTGGGTTCAATTGTGGTCATAAGTTAAGGACTACCTGTATTGCAAGCAAATATTGAGGGAATACTTGAAGAAATACAGAAACATACAAAACTGATGGCAGAGAAAGACCTAATGGCCCATTGAATTTGCCCTGTGAGTTTATTTGTGTTTTGTTTTTAATTTATTTTCCATTATTTTTTATCATTATTTTATCTTTTATTAATTTTTATTTTCATATTTTTAATTTTTATTGGACGTTGAACATGTGTTTATCCCAAGCATGTTTAAACTCAGTTAACTCACTTCTTAATCATAAAAGCAGTACAGCTGTGAAACAAATGACTTGGAGTAGGTGGTAGGCCATTGTAAGGCCCTGCCTCTCCTCTCTGCTCAAGAAAGTAGAACTCTTGAAACGACTGGCCTTTCAAAAGAAAACTTTTATTGGAGGGAAAGTGATAGCAAGACAAAGAAAGCAGGATCTGAGGATTCCTGCACAATTCAGTTAGATTAAAACAGTGAGAGACCCCTCCCCTCAATCTGATGTTGAGTAAGCCAATCCGAAGTGCGAAGATATTTTGAGAATCGCAGGTTGAGAAGATGATAAGATGCTGTTCTCAGGCTTCGCTTGCTGGAGGCTCCGGAGCTGAGACAAAATAAGTGGACCTGCCCCCTTACATTCCCAGGAAGGTAATTCTCGAATACCAATTCTCGAGTATAGCTCATCTGTCTGGAACCCGCACTGCATATTGGACATTAATACAATTGAACGTGTCCAGAAATATTTCAGAAGAAGAGTCCTCCACTCCTCTGCTCGCAACAAAATACCTTATGCCACCAGACTTGAAATTTTGGGCTTAGAAAAATTAGAACTACGCTGCATTCGGTCTGACCTAAGCGTAGCACGTAAAATCATCTGCTACAATATCCTACCTGTCAATGACTACTTCAGCTTCAACCACAACAATACATGAGCACACAATAGATACAAACTTAAAGTGAACTGCTCCAAACGTGATTGCAGAAAATACGACTTCAGCAACAGAGTGGCCAACGCCTGGAATGCACTACCTTGACTCTGTAGTTTCATCCCAAAACCTCCAAAATTTTAATCTTAGACTGGCTACTGTTGACCTCACCCCACTCCTAAGAGGTCTGTAAGGGGCGTGCATAAGAGCACCAGCGTGCCTACCATCCCTGTCTTAATGTCCCCTTTAATTGTATTCATTTTATGTATTCAGTTCGTGCTTATACTTATATATATTATCTAATACGTACTCGACAAATAAATAAATAAATAAAATAAAAGATAAATCAAAGTACAGGATAGATATGCACCAGGAAGAAGATTATAAACTGAGGAATATGTCCAGGCCCTCTCCCCACCAGAATGGCACTTCCTGATAGGGAGCTATGGGACCTGGCAGCTACCCTTTTTTCCAGATGTGGTCAAGCTGCCATCCATCCGCAATGCTTTAATTTGGATTCATGCACAGGGGAAGCCGATGGACTGAGTGGCCCACATGATCCCTTGGAGCTCTAGGATTCTATGCTGGAAATTCTGGGAGATAGGAATCCATGGGGGAAATCTGGCTGACAAAAAAAAAAAAAAATGGCTAAAAGGTAGAAAAGCCATGAGAATAAATCTTCCAAAGATGTAACCAGCCCCATCATTTGGTTGTAGAGGTTCCTGAGTGGGGTGGGGATTGTTTAGTTTCTACATGTGATGTGTTTTCTGTTTTTAATTGTATCTCTCTTTGGGAATGCATAGGGTGTGGGGAAAGGTGCAACCCCCCCCCCACCCCAAGACCTGTCCAACCACAGCATAACTGTCCAAAGTTATAGAACCTGTTCAGCAGCGTTACCTGCTTTACCTGACTGTAGCCGGTCTGGTAGCTAACGTGGCTACAACTTTTTCCCATGCCTGTTTAATGGCATTTTTCAAATTTTTATTCTCCTAGCTCCCTTTGCTTTTTCTGGGGGCTCTCCATGTTCTATTGGCCAACTGGGGTATTTGATGGTTCCATAAAATTTGTGGAAGGTTCCAAAACAGGTTTGATGGACCATGGCATAGAAAACCTCAAATAAAGTTAAACTAAGGTCTAGTTGATGTCCTACTTCTTAGTTAAGTTCTATCCGCCATTCTTGTGTGATCTCAAGCAGCAAATATTGCAGAGAGACTAGCCCAAAATCAGCCAGGGAATTTCAGTAGTTGAGTATTGATGTCAACCTGAGTCTCTCTGGTCCTAGTCTAATGGCAGGATCACCTCTTTTACCACCACAAGGTAGGCCTATTAAGCAATGGAGCAGCTTGTCTTCGGGAGTTGTGGCTGCTCCATCCCTGGAGGTTTTCCAGAAAAGATTGGACAATCATTTGTCCAGGATGGTATAAGGTATAAGCCTTGGGCAGTGGGTAGGACTAAAAAACCTCTAAGATCCCTTCCAGCCATATGATTCTATACGAGTGCAAATCTAACACCATCAGCTACTCATTAAAGCAGCCATCTCTTCCTGCGGTTGCCCAGAAACTTAAAAAATTTACAAACATTTTGCATTTCCACACCCTCAAAGGTTTGTTTTCTGAATGTTTGCTTTCCAAAGTTCAATACTACAAAATTATGTAGCTGAAACCAAAGATTTCTTTAATCAAAGATATTTATTTATTTATTTATTTATTAAATTTTTATACCGCCCTTCTCCTAAGGGACTCAGGGCGGTGCACAGCCACAATAAAACACTTATATCCATAAAGTTTAAAAACAGTTTAAAACATATTAAATAATTTGTCCCTATATTAAAAACTAAAACACCCATTAAAATTCGTTATTAAGCCAGCCCAGCCTGTTGAAACAGTAAAGTCTTAAGGGCATGGTGAAAAGTACTTAGGTCAGGGATCATACGTATCTCCAGGGGCAATTCATTCCAGAGGGAAGGTACCCTTTGATTAATTTATTAATTAATTTATTTGATTGATTTGAGTAATTGAATGAGTAGTCAAAGATTACTCCTTAATCAAAGAAAGAATTTTCTTTCATGCAAAAAATAATGTCAAAAACTATAGTTTAGATAATTTCGAGATAATTATTCTCCAGTGGAAATAGAGACCTGATTTTGATAACAGAACAATATATAACATGGTCCTGGGATAAATTCATGCTAAGGATTATATAAGAAAGATTATTATATAAAAAGTGCAAAGAAGAGCAACCAAGATGATTAGGGGACTGGAGACTAAAACTTTTGAAGAACAGTTACAGGAACTGGGCATGGCTAGTCTAATGAAGAGAAGGACCAGGGGAGACATGATAGCAGTATTCCAATATTTGAGGGGCTGCCACAGAGAGGAAGGGGTGTCAAGCTATTTTCCAAGGCACACAAAGACCAGACAAGGAATAATGGATGGAAACTGATCAAGGAGAGATTCAACATAGAAATGAGAAATTTTCTAAATGGAGCAGCTTGCCTTCGGAAGTTGTGGGAGCTTCCTCACTGGAGGCTTTTAAGAAAAGATTGGATTGCCATTTGTCAGAAATGGTGTAGGGTCTCCTGCTTGATGGCGTAGATGACCTACAGTACAAGGTCCCTTCCAACTCTGTTAATCTGAATATAAAATTCAAATCAATATTTGGCTCATTCATTGAGGTTTGATTCTAATGATTGCCAGAGTAAAAGAATCTGAACTTTTCAAGTGCATCCCATTGGCCATTTTAGGAAAATGAGTGGTATCATCCAGCAGGTTACAAGTTCTAATGTACAGTAGTCATCGCTTACCAACTGCCTTGTTTAATAACCATTTGACATTTTGATGGTGCTGTAAAAAAAAAAAAAGCTTTGTGACCAATTCTTGCATTGTTGCAATGTCCTGCAGTCCTATGATCACCATTTGTGTGCTTTGCAACTGGCTTGCAATAAACAGAAATAATAGAGAAGACAGAAGTAATATTGTAAATTGAGGTCCCATGTTTTATTTAATAACTGGGGTGATTCATGGGAAATGATGTGTAAGCCCATCGAGGTCATATGATTTTCTGTTTAGTGACTGTGGTACCTGCTGGTCCAAATGCGGTTGCTAAGTGAGGTCTACCTACTGCAGACTTATTTTCATATGGTTGAACCAAACGCGTGGCAGTGCTCCTCATTCATATTTTTGTGAATGAGTGAAAATTTGAACCTGAGTCTCCATGGTCTTAATCCTAAAGTCTAACTATTGCACCAGTGGTGGGTTTCAAATTTTTTTACTACCAGTTCTGTGGGTGTGGCTTGGTGGGTGTGGCTTGGCTTGGTGGGCGTGGCTTGGTGGGCATGGCAGGGGAAGGATACTGAAAAATCTCCATTCCCACCCCACTCAAGGGGAAGGATACTGTAAAATCTCCATTCCCTCCCCACTCCAGGGGAAGGTTACTGCAAAATCCCCATTTCCTCCCGATCAGCTGGGACTTGGGAGGCAGATAATAGATGGGGGCGGGGCCAGGCAGAATTTTTAATACTGGTTCTCCGAACTACTAAAAATTTCCGCTACCGGTTCTCCAGAACTGGTGAGAACCTGCTGAAACCCACCTCTGTATGGCACTATACTTGATTTTACTGGTACTTTCTGGTTTACTTGTCTTTCTTTTTACCTTTCACTATCATGTCTCCTCATTCTTTTGCCCCATGATGCCCAGTTAAATTGTCCAGTTAGTGGCTGTTTTCTATTCTCTTGAGAAAGAACAAGCCAAACTTGTTTGCTATCAGGGGTCAAGATCCTTACAAGGGAAAGGAAGAATGTGGAAAGCTGGCAAGGGGTGGGGCAGGGGCAGTTGCTGAAGACAATGTGATAAGGAATTAACCAGTAAAGTAGAAAAGGATGTTTTTATTTATTTATTTATTTATTTTTTCAATTTATATGCCGCCCCTCTCCGAAGACTCACTCACTTTTCCTTACTGACCCTGTCTTCATTTGTACCTTGGACTCTGAGGAGCTTGGGACATCTTCTATCATAGCATGAAGAAAGTTCTTGAGAAGACTAACCAACTTCTATAACGAACGATGGCTGCTTTCCTTCTACTTCTCTTCCTAATTGCTTGCAAGACCATGGCTTTAGGTGATTATTATTTTATGGAATCATAAAATCATACTTGGAAGGGGGTTGTTTGGAGCAACTCAATGCTTTTTGGTACTCTTTGATGAAAGGAAAGATCTATCTCAATAGGCTGATGGTGCAATCTTTCTCAACCTGGTATTTTCCAAGCGCGTTCAAATACAACTCCGATCGTTATTTGTATTGTTAGAAATGATGTGTCATCTCACTTATCTGTAGGATGACTTGGAGAAGATTGCCTAAAATGTCTCTTTCCTTGCTTCTCTCTCAATCATTAATCCTGGCTATATAATATAATATACACTGCTCAAAAAAATAAAGGGAACACAAGCAGAAGACATCTGAGATCTGAATGAATGAAATAGCCTTATTAAACACTTTGTTCGTTACATACAGTAGTTTTATGTTCCCTTTAGTTGTTTGAGCAGTGTATAAACTACTGTATGTAAAGAACAAATATTTAATAAGGCTATTTCATTCATTCAGATCTCGGATGTCTTCTGCTTGTGTTCCCTTGATTTTTTTGGGCAGTATATATAATAATATATATATAATATGGCTATATAATACCTGGCTAGGTGGCTCAGTGGCCAAGATGCTGAGCTTGTTGGTCAGAAAGGTCGGCAGTTCAAATCCCTACTATAGGTCTCCTGCGTGAGCAGGGGGTTGGACTAGATGATCTCCAAGGTCCCTTTCAACTCTGTTACTGTTACATTTTGAATTAAACTTTCCAGGATAAAGATCCTGTCTCTTTTGCTCTGGGCATTAGCAGACACTTAGATGTAAATGTTTGGCAGTAATCTTCTTTTGTGATGAGATAGTAAAAAAAAAAAAAATTGGAATAATCTTCCAATAATCTGGGCTAAGTAACTAAGTACAAGCATAAACTGGGTGGCTATATTCACATAATGTGCTGAATCTGCTTCCTGAATTAATCTATTTTTCTGTGTTCACAAACACATCTATCCATAAATGATTTTTTTTTAAAAAAAGCAGGCTGGGCTTGGACCATACTAACCTAGCTTAGGGTTTTACTTGCCATGGTTAAGTGGATTGTGTTTTAAGTACAAATGTCAATAGTATAAAATGAATGTGAGGAAATGTGCGGAAGACCAGCTCTGCTTTCATTTCCAAATGACATTCCACTTCCATGTCAGCTCTGGACAGGTGAGATGGTTGGCTTAATCCGCTTAGATGCTGGAAGAAGGGAGGGAGAGTAGATATTCAAATGGAGACTCAAATAATGTAGTCGGTCAGTCCAAGGGATGCTATAAGTTTGAACAGAAATGCTCAGAACTGATACAAGGAGAGAACCAATCTAGAGAAATTCTTGATAGCAAATAGATAATTAATCAATGGAACAGCTTGCCTTTGAAACTTGTGGGTGCTCCAACACTGGAGGTTTTAAAGAAGAGATCAGACAAATATGCCTGACTAGGTGGCTCAGTGTTCTGCCCCAGCTCCGGATTCCTGAGGATATAGACACACACCAACGGTCCTTATCAAATGTATTAAGTAGCAAGAATAAACCAAAGTCTGGCAAAGATTGGCAACCAGCCCAGAAAGCAAGATAAGACTTTTCCAAAAATGCTCTGATGGTAATTACAAGTTGTTTCTAGCAAGAAACTTACTAACGGCGTGTGACTTAAATAGGCTAAGGGAGTGGCCAATTATCCTCAAGCCTTACTCTAGAGAAGACCTCCTCCTCCTGAGTAGCCACTCCTGCCTTTTGGCAACCTTGCGTGCTCGAGCATTGAGGAGAGGCTCCTCCACTTCGCTCTCTCCACTTGAAGGAGCCTCTGGAGGTTCTGAAGGCCCAGGCTGAGTCTCTGCCTCTGGCACCACATCCTCTTCAGCCTCCTCGCTGTCCCTTCCAACTCTGTTATTCTGTTCTGTTATTGTGTTATAATAGATGGATAATAGTAACGTGGACTGAATGTGATTCCAGAAATGGAAGATTTTCTATCCAAGTTAGATTTTTAGCTTTTAGGAGGAAAAAAATGCTTTAATTTTAATTCGGTTGTGCAGCTTTGTTTTTGTTTCTAAATTTTTGCTCCCAAGGAAATAGGGCTTTGGGACAGTAGAGGGAGGGAATTAAAGAGAGAAGCACATCTTTCTTAAAACAAAAAAAAAAAAAGAAAAGAAAACAACCCATGTTTACGATACATATGTAATAGATGGACAATCTCCTTCTCTAATAGGGAGCTCCCGGACAGCCTTTCTGATTGACAGGCTATAGGGAGCACTGCCACTGAAAAGAAAGGGGATACAGTATCCTCTCCTTCCCATCCCAGGATCCTCCTGAAGACTGGCTTTTCTACTGAATGGGCACAAAGAGGGCATAAGGGGGTGGTCCATGGTGGCTCTTTGGGCCAGGAATGTTGACCACAATTTATATTAAGGCACACATCTACACCTCCATACCCCTTTGATCCATTCTTGTAACAGCAGAAAAATATGAGAACAAGAGAGAACCTGTCTTTCTTACCTTCTGACATTCATAAGAAGAGCTTATGGAAGCCAAGCAGGCAGATAGTCACGTCTTAGTCCAACGCCATAAAACACACTCTCCCCTGAACTTCAGGTCACCAAGCTAACTTAGGATGCACAGAGTAGGACATGAGACATTTTATTTATTGGTTCGATTTATATGCTGCCCTTCTCCAGAGCTCAGGGCGGCTTACAATGCGTTAAGCAATAGCCTTCGTACTTTTGTATATACCTGCTTAGTAGGGCTTTCGCCCCCCCCCCCCAAGCAGTGTTCTTCTTTTATACAAAGTCAGCTTATTGTCCCCACAAACTGGGTCCTCATTTTACCTACCTCGAAAAGATGGAAGGCTGAGTCAACCTTGAGCCTGGTGAGATTTGAACTTGCAGTAATTGCAGGCAGCTGGTGCTACTTAACAACACTTTAGTCTGCTGTGCCATCAAGGCTATAATATATGTATTATATACATCTATAATATAATATAATAAACAGAGTTGGAAGGGACCTTGGAGGTCTTCTAGTCCAACCTCCTGCTCAAGCAGGAAACCCTACACCACTTCAGACAAATGGTTATCCAACATCTTCTTAAAAATTTCCAGTGTTGGAGCATTCACAACTTCTGGAGGCAAGTTGTTCCACTGATTAATTGTTCTAACTGTCAGGAAATTTCTCCTTAGTTCTAAGTTGCTTCTCTCCTTGATTAGTTTCCACCCATTGCTTCTTGTCCTGCCTTCAGGTGCTTTGGAGAATAGCTTCGCTCCCACTTGTTTGTGGCAGCCCCTGAGATATTGGAACACTGCTATCATGTCTCCCCTAGTCCTTCTTTTCATTAAACTAGACATACCCAGTTCCTGCAACTGTTCTTCATATGTTTTAGCCTCCAGTCCCCTAATCATCTGATCCCTCATCATCTCCACTTGCCTTCTTACTTCAGTTCTAAGAGAGTTATTATCCCACTTTTTCTAATGGTAGAGTGGACCCCAAATAAAAGGCAGACATCTTCTGTCATTGTGTAGTGTGGAAGAACACTACATGTACCTCCCTCTTTGAAAGCAGTGGGCCATATTGGGGGGGGGGACTGGAAAATTACTGCTTTTCAGGAACAAGGATAACAACTTTTATGGATCATATATCGGGCATATCTTATTTGTTTATTAACGTTTCCAAGGAATATAGAGACAACATGTTCACCTCATCAAGAGAGGTCCTGAAAAAGTCCTGCTTTTTTGTCTTTTATTTCTAGCTGCAGAGACTCTCGGGGTTTCAGGTCAAGGGGTACAGGCTATAGCAGGAGTGTCCAACAGTGGTGAAATCCAATTTTTTTTACTACCGGTTCTGTGGGCGTGGCTTGGTGGGCGTGGTGTGGCTTGGTGGGTGTAGTTTGGTGGGCGTTGCAGGGAAAGGATACTGCAAAATCTCCATTCTCACCCCACTCCAGAGGAAGGATATTGCAAAATCTCCATTCCCACCCCACTCTAGGGCCAGCCAGAGGTGGTATTTGCCGGTTCTCTGAACTACTCAAAATTTCTGCTACCGGTTCTCCAAACTGCTTAAAATTTCCACTACCGGTTCTCCAGAACCTGTCAGAACCTGCTGGATTTCACCCCTGGTCTCCAATCTTGGCAACTTTAAGCCTGGAGGACTTCAGTTTTGCTGGCTGGGGAATTCTGGAAGTTGAAGTCCTCCAGGCTTGAAGTTGCCAAGGTTGGAGACCCCTCGGCTATAGTGTCCACTCTCAGTCCAGAAAGCAGGGGGGGATAAGAATGTTGTTTTTGTGAGAAATGTTCTGATCCCTGCTTGCATTTGATTAGATGCATCATCAGTTCTTGCATTTCTGCACCACCAATTGATGTTGATGTCTTCTCGATATATTTTCAGAGGTGGTCCCCTACACTCCACGAGTCTCAGACATGAACATGGCCGGAAAAATCACCGTTAGTACTTTTTCTTTAGAATCGCCAAAGTGTGTCTTTGACTCATTTGTCAATGCCTCCGACGACATCTGGTTGGTAATCACCTTCGCTAATGGTGAGTGGATAGCCAAAATCCCTCTTCATTTTATGAAGAGAATAATTTTATTTTATTTATTGGACTTCTATCTGTTAGCCCTAGAAGGTAGACCCGATCAAGAAACCAACTCTCCAGGAAAACTATAACTAAACTTTATTGAGATAGGCTATAGTAGCTGAAAGGGACAGGGTGGCTCTGTGGCTAAGACGCTGAGCTTGTCGTTTGAAAGGTCGGCAATTCAGCGGTTCGAATCCCTAGTGCCGCATAATGGGGTGAGCTCCCGTTACTTGTCCCAGCTTCTGCCAACCTAGCAGTTCGAAAGCACGTAAAAAATGCAAGTAGAAAAATAGGGACCACCTTTGGTGGGAAGGTAACAGTGTTCTGTGCGCCTTTGGCATTTAGTCATGCCGGCCACATGGCCACAGAGACCTTTTCGGATGGCTCTTTGGCTTTGAAACGGAGATGAGTGCCGCCCCCTAGGGTTGGGAATGACTAGCACAGGGATCGGCAACCTTAAATACTCAAAGAGCCACAAAGGTCCTAACTGGAAGCCCCATGTTCAATTCTGGAGCCAACCGGAAGTCCGGTTCCCCCACCATAGAGTCTCCTCCTAGCACAACATCCTTTTTCCTCTACTTGTCCTAACCGAAAGTCCTACCAATTGTGGAGCTGATTGGCAACAGGGAGCCGCAGCAGAGGGATGAAAGAGCCACATGCGGCTCCAGAGCCGCAGGTTGCTGACCCCTTGACTAGCACATATGTGCTAGGGGAACCTTTACCTTTTTATAGCAGCGGAATCTTGCAAGTCGGAGTAAGATTCTTCTCTCTTTGTCGTATATTCCACGGAATCAAGAGGAGCCAGCCTCTCTCTTCCTAATGCTACCTCCTTTCCCAGGCCTTAAAGCATACTTCTGCCTTCATTGTTCTGTTAGAGCTTCTGAATATTCCCTTCCAGGCCATTGCCATTCTTTTTTCATTATCACCTGTGAGGCGTCTTTGGTGCTTTTTGACCTTGGTGGTTTTCTTAAAAATATTTCATTAGGAAACAGTTTGGTAATGAAACACCTGCAAGAAAGAACCTTGGTGGCGCAGTTAAAGTAGTACTTAGCTGCCAGCTGCCTGCAATTACTGCAAGTTCAATTCTCACCAGGCTCAAGTTTGACTCAGCCTTCCATCCTTTCGAGGTAGGTAAAATGAGGACCCGGTTTGTGGGGGCAATAAGCTGACTTTGTATAAAAAAGAACACCGCTCCGGGGTGTGTGTGTGTGTGTGTGTGTGTCAAAAAGCCCTACTAAGCAGGTATATACAAAAGTATGAAGGCTATTGCTTAATGCATTGTAAGCCGCCCTGAGTCTGCGGAGAAGGGCGGCATATATAAATCGAACAAACAAACAAACAAACAAACAAACAAACAAATAAATAAATAAGAAATAAGAAAACCACCAAGGTCAGAGAGCATCAAGGACCTCTCATTTCAACCCCGAGCTACAATTATTCTCCTTTATTTTCACCTTTTGATCGGGAACTCAAGGCATAGGGAGGAGGTTCCCTCTATTTTATTCCTAGAATGCCACACCTGGAAGGGGAATATCCACAGAAGCTTTCTGCTTTGAGTAAAACTATGAAAGCCGCATTCTTCTACAAGCCCTGCCCCTTTGGGTCTGCACACAATGTCCCAATGTGTACAGAAGACCAGGTGGGGTTTGTGGTGCAATGCTGCGTTTGTCATTCAGCCCCACCTTCAGTTGTTGCTGCCTGTGAGATAGGTTGAGCTCAGAAAGAGGGACTAGCTCAAAGCTGCCCATTGCACTTCCATGACTGATGGCACACAGAACCTGAGTCTTCCCAATTTTAATCCAACACTTTAACCACTGCATTAAATGTCTTTTCTGCCCAATTACAGATTGAAAGGAAATTTGGGCAAAGCTGGCAGAGTGTATAAGAGATCTTAATTCATTCAAATTTTAGTAATAGAACTAGCACTTGGGCTTATATACCACTTCACAGTACTTTACAGCCCTCTAAGTAGTTTACAATGTCAGCATATTGCCCCCAACAATCTGGATCCTCATTTTACTGACCTTGGAAGGATGGAAGGCTGAGTCAACCTTGAGCTGGTGAGAATCAAACTGCTGGCAGTTGGCAGAATTAGCCTGCAATATTGTATTTTAACCACTGCACCACCATGGCTCCTTACTTGCAATTAAAAACCTGGTTTCTGAATGTTAGTTGTTGACACATTTCCCAGATGTGGATGCTGCCTTATTTTACTCCAGTGTTTCTCAACCATGTCAACTTGAAGAAGGGTGGACTTCAATTCCCAGAATTCATGCTGACTGGGGAATTCTGGGAATTGAAGTTCACATTTCTTCAAGTTGCCAAAGCTGAGAAACACTGCTTTATCCAGATAGATGCTAAGCAGTAATTATGGCATGTTAATAGATAGCTTGACAAAGTCAAAAGGTGAGGGGCACATTTCAACCGTTTCCATAAATAGATTAATTGATTAAAACATTCGGTGGATTAATCACTGGGGGAGCAATTTTAACATCTTTGTGGCTGGATAAGGAAAACACAACTGGTAAAGATTGATTGCTTTCAAGTGCTGGAATTAGTATCTGGGAGGCACCTGGTTGTCCACTGCTGGAAACCGTATGCCAAGTAAATGGCAGGTTCCCCAAACCATGGGCCTGACAGGATTCATATGAGATGGATGAGCTATTAAACCTTTGATTTTTGATAAAATGAACTCATCTCTGGGTCATTCTCCCTGCCTTGTTTTTAAATGTACTCTCCCCACAGCCACAACTCACTTCAAGAACCCCACATCGGCACAGCAAATTCCACCGTATGAAGATTTATATACCGCTTATGCCTTCATGACAATGAAGTCCACCCTCTCCCAATACCCATGTACTAAAGGCAAAACAACGAATGTGCTCCGGGTCGGCAACGAATCATCCTGCAAAAATGATGACACCAGGACCCACTGCAATGGCCCTCTGCCTTCTACTGGACCTTACAGGTGAGGATGGATATGGCCCTCAATTATCCCTCTGAACTCCTTGGAGGGAACCCTGGCAGGTAGAGAGGGCATCCACAAGGGAAGGGACGCCAGAAAAGTCAAGATGGCAATCATGATGCAAGTGAAAAGGGGCGGGGCTTTCATTGCATGGATGTGGCCATCATCTTGAGGGGTTGTTTTTTGTTTTACCGGCGATCGCCTCTGAAGGCAGGATATAAAATGGATATTCTATTCTCACAATTGGGATCTGAAAATCCTTAAGAGCAACAAACAGAAACAATAGTTGTAGTAGTTGCAATATAATTATTGTTAATAATAATACGACTCTGGCAAAAGAAAGCAAAGGTAGTAACAATAGTATTAGGCACTTTGGAGGCAATCCCAAAACATCACCAGAGCTGAGATATCAGCAATTGACATCAGTCAATTGCAAAATGCAGCTTTACTAGGAACAGCTTACATCCTGCGATGATAGCAATAGCACTTTAGACTTATATACCACTTCACAGTGCTTTACAGCCCTCTCTAAGTGGTTTACAGAGTCAGCATATCGCCCCCAACAATCTGGGTCCTCATGATACTTTTAACACTATCAACAATAACATCTGCCTATCTCAGGGCCTTGGGAAAGAATCAATAGTGGATAATGCAGTCTAAAAGTATGCATCATCATCATCATAAAAAAAAAATAACATAAGGTCTGCCTATTCCAGGTCCTTAGGAAGGACTCGATAGGTGGACAAAACTGCTAAATTCATTCTAAACATCTGGCTGAAGGTGTGACCAACCATCATAATAATTTCCTAAAAGAAATCAAGACAGAAAATGGATAAACATCCCCTCGTTTCCACTTGGTTACCTAAGCCAACAGACCTATCGGTGTCTCAGATTGCATCCAGTCACAAATCTGCAGGGCACGTTAAACATAATTTAATCCTGACTAGGTTTGTTTTTTATGGATGCACATGGCTTACCACATCGGCAAAGCTGGCTTCATTTACAAGCATTGGATAAGTGTGCAGGGCAAATCCATTCTCAAATTCTCTTGGAAGCTATTGGACCTGACTGGCCATGAAATGTTTTTTGGGGGGATGGGAGGAAGAGAAACAAAAAAATATTGGGGAATTTTGGAAACCTCACTTCAGTAACTAATTATTTGGGGAAGGAAGGGGAGGTATATAAAGTCATTAGGAGCATGAGGATGATCAGTTTTCAAGTCTTTTGTTTGCTGTATATGAAATAAAAAGCAGGGAAGTTTCCTTGATTACTGGACTGATAGGCAAGATATAAATCAAAGAATGATATCCATAATTTTAGCAAAGGCTTTCCTCTTTTCTCCTCCTTCTTTCCTTCATTTTGAAGGCTACAAGGGTCAGAGCAGTAATGCAATCTTTGGCTCTTTCTTTTTGGAATTTTGCAAGCTTGGGAGAATTAAGACAAAACATTTTGCAGCAGAATTTCAGCAGCACCCTCAGGGATGGTAAGGAGAGAGGTTTGAAGAGGCTTCCTGTTAAAGGATAGATTATTTATTTATTTATTTGTATCCCGCCTTTATTACTTACTAATAACTCAAGGCGGCAAACATATACAACACATCTTCCTCCTCCTATTTTCCTCACAACACCAATCCTGTGAGGTGGGTTGAGCTGAGAGAGAATGACTGGTTGAGGCTTTAACCACTAGACCAAACTGGCTCTTAATCAGGGGTGAAATCCAGCAGATTCTGACAGGTCCTGAAGAACTGGTAGCGGAAAGTTTGAGCAGTTCGGAGAACCAATAGTGGAAATTTTGAGTAGTTTGGAGAACCAGTAGCAGAAAGTTTGAGTAGTTCGGAGAACCGGCAAATGCCACCTCTGGCTGGCCCCAGAGTGGGGTTGGAATGGAAATTTTGCAATATCCTTCCCCCTGGAGTGGGGAGGGAATGGAGATTTTGCAATATCCTTCCCACACCCACAAAGCCACGCCCACAAAGCCACACCCACAGAACCGGTAGTAAAAAAATTTGGATTTGACCGCTGCTCTTAATGCAATTAAGTTATTTATTTTTAAGTGATATATGCCTGCAGAGATACAAACAAAACTTTCTACAGCATTTTATGATTGAGAGACTTTGATGACATTCACACACACACACCGTCCTCCATTGCCAATTTTCTTAACCAACTGCATTCATTGATCTTTTTCTGTCAATTTCCAATTGGAGAGAAATAAATATTTGGGGTGAGCAGCCACTTCTCCAAAAACATCTTTAGAGGGAAGGGCGTAAAAAAATAAATCAAGTTGATGGCCATAAGGCACTGATTGAAGCCCTGCCCCTTTTTAGCCATGTCAAAAAAATCAAGATGGCAGCCATAACCATGCAATCAAAACCACATCCTTTTTACATGCGTCTTTGATTGCACAGTTATATTTATTTGTTGGTTGGTTTGTTTGCCAAACATGTACAAGATAGCAGGTATAGGTATAAACATAAACATAAACATAAACAAAGGAAGTAAGTACAACTAAATGGGGACAGTAAGACAGGGACGGTAGGCACGCTGGCACACTTATGCATGCCCCCTTTATGGGGTGAGGTCCACGGTAGACTGTTGAAGCTATGAGGGTTTGAGGCTGTAACAACAGAGTCGGGTAGAGCATTCCAGGCGTTGACCACTCTGTTGCTGAAGTCGTATTTTCTGCAACTGAGTTTGAAGCGGTTTACCTTAAGTTTGTATCGATTTTTTGCCTGCGTATTATTGTGGTTGAAGCTGAAGAAGTTGTTGACAGGTAAGACGTTGTAGCAGACAATTTTGTGTACTATGCTTAGATCGGACCGCAGGTGGTGCAGTTCCAGATTGTCCAAGCCCAGAATTTCAAGCCTGGTGGCAAAAGGGAATCTATTGTGAATAGAGGAGTGGAGTACTCTTCTTGTGAAATACCTCTGGACCCGTTCAATCGTGTTAATGTCCGGTATACAGTGTGGATTCCAAGCGGATGAGCTGTATTCAAGAATTGGTCTGGCAAAGGTTTTTTGATACCCTGAGACACTCAGGCCTGCGTCTGCCTTAGAAATTAAGGAAGAATGAAACCAAATGTCACAATTCTGAAACAAAGAAGGGGAAAAAAACCAACCCCTATTTATTCTGAAGTTGGAAGTATAACCAGTTTTCGACACTTGGGGGGGCCCATCCCTTGAGAAAACAGCCATGGGAATGCAGACCCATTCAACCAGATTTTCCACCCTATAAGTGAATGGAATGAAGTCAGAGCCAGGAAGGTTTCGCAGGGTTGAATAACACAAAAGGAAGTTACAGCTCTAATCAGATAATGATGGGTTTGTAGCTACAGAGCCTCAGAGGGCAGAGGCAGGCGGGTCTATGTGTAATGGATGACATCCGTAAATAGGATGAAGGCTTCTAATATTTCAAAAGTTGTTCTTTTGCTTGAGATTGTGAAAGTTTGGGTAAATTCCATTTTTTCAAATATCCATCAATCTTTTCCAGGGAGACTTTCTATGTTTTTCATACAAATTCAAATAAAATCATGGAAGGATTTTTAAATACACACATTATGTGTTAACATAGTCTCACCTTTAATCAATCAAACTATCAGAATAGAGCTGGAAGGGACCTTGGAGGTCTTCTAGTCCAGGGGTCTGCAACCTTAAACACTCAAAGAGCCATTTGGACCCGTTTCTCACAGAAAAGAAAACACTGGGAGCCACAAAACCCTTCCTGTGTCTAACTATTTCTTGAGTGGCCACAAAACTAGCATATGTAATTGAATGAAATGTTCTGTTTTCTTCTGAAACTTTTTTTTTTCTTGGATTTATCCATGGTTAGCCTACCGGAGGTTGAAAAGTTCAATAAATTGCATGCCAGCGGGTGTCGCACATTGGTGGTTGTGATGCATATTTTGAGTGACAGGGAGCCGCAGCAGAGGGGTGAAAGAGCCACATGCGGCTCCAGAGCCCTAGGTTGCTGATCCCTGTTCTAGTCCAACCACCTGCTCAAGCAGGAGACTCTGACCATTTCAGATAGGTGGCTGTCTTTTCTTAAAAACCTCCGGTGATGAAGCACCTGCAACTTCTGAAGTCAAGCTTTTCCACTGATTAATTGTCCTCACTATTAGGAAATTCCTCCTTAATTCCAGGTTGCTTCTCTCCTTGAGTAGTTTCTACCCATTGTTTCGTGCCTTGCTTTCTCGTGCTTTGGACAATCATTTGACCCCCTCTTCTTTGTGGCAGCCCCTCAAATACTGGAATGCTACTATCATGTCACCCCTAATCCTCCTTTTTTTCTCCCCCCCTTTTTTTCTTTCCTAAATTTATTTATTTATTTATTTATTTATTTATTTATTTATTTATTTATTTATTTATTTATTCATTCATTCATTCATTCATTCATTCATTCATTCATTCATTCAATTTGTATGCCACCCCTCTCCGAAGACTCAGGGCGGCTCACAATGCATTTAAAATCATTATAAAAAACATTTAAAAATAAAAAAACATTAAAAACATTAAAACCCATTCACACCATTCATGGCCGGATCTCGCCGGATCGCAAGAGCAAGATCAACGACCCCAGGCCTGCCAGAAGAGCCAGGTCTTCACTGCTTTTCGGAAGGCCAATAGGGTGGGGATGGTCCAGACCTCAGGAGGTAACTGGTTCCAGAGAGCTGGGACAGCCACAGAGAAGGCCCTCCCCCGCGGGCCCACCAGCCAGCATTGTTTAGCTGATGGGACCCGGAGGAGACCAACTCTGTGGGATCTTACTGGTCGTTGGGAGTTATGCGGTAGAAGGTGGTCTCGAAGATACCCTGGCCCTGAGCCATGTAGGGCTTTAAAGGTAATAATCAATACCTTGAATTGTGACCGGAGACCAATAGGGAGCCAGTGCAGCTTGCGGAGAATTGGTGTAATATGGGTGTACCTAGATGCACCCACGACAACTCACGCAGCTGCGTTCTGGACCAACTGTAGTCTCCGAACACTTTGCAAGGGTAGCCCCATGTAGAACGTGTTGCAATAATCTAACCATGAGGTGACAAGGGCATGAGTGACCGTGAGGAGAGCCTCCCGATCCAAGTAGGGTCGCAATTGGTGCACCAGGCAAACCTGTGCAAAGGTCCCCCTAATATCATTTTCTTTTCTTTTTTTTCCTTCCTCAGTTTATAAACCAACCATTTTCCATGATTTGTTTGCAAACTATAATTTTTCTTTGCTTCACATAATTTAATTTAGTCTCTATTTCGCTCATGGTTAACATAGATATTTGCTGATATAAAATAAAATAGGGAAAGCACCAGGTCCTGGTGAGCTGTCAAGTTCATATTATAAGTATTTTCAAGACCAGCTTCTACAACCACTTAAAATGTGCTAAACTCTATTTTGCAAGGATCTGCTATGCCAGAATCTTGAAAAAGGGCCAATATTACTTTACTTCCAAGATTTGTCTTCAACCAAGAATTATAGAACAATTTCATTGTTGAATACAGATTATAAAATATGTACTGCAATATTAATTATTATTATTATTAAGCTTTAAATTATTATTAACATTATTAATATTAAGCTGATAGCTTAAAGAAGATTTTGCAGCTTTTCATTCACGATGGTCATGATCAAAGCAGCCTATTAGATTCGGTGATAGAAGAGACGGACGCAGTTCTTCAGTAACAACAGCTCTTTAATAGGAGACCAGTACAACCCAACAACCAGCTCATCTGGCAGTGTCCTCTTTTATAGAGGGCTGCCAGACGGCTTAGCCAATGAGATTCAAGTATTTTCCCGCCTATTTGGAGGACCCGAGTGAAGCCTGCAGCTCACTTTCTTACTTCCTTATATGGTATATAACAGAGCCCAAAATAGATGGGTCCTCTGTTCTCTTTCTGGACCTACCTCCCTGTTTTGTTCATTCACCATTATGTCCAACATCCTGACAGTTTTGACCAAACTCTGTGGACACACTTGGTCATTAACTGAGTTGAAATGCATTTGGAATGTCACGGATATTTCTTTCCATTCCTTCCTCCTGTATTTTAATTCCACTATATACTTTTCAGAGTAAAATTCCTCGCCATGAACTCCTCGGGCTCGAAAGCAGAAACAAGATGGTCTTCTCCAATTTGGCTGAATAAAGGTATGCAAGGAGAGGAGCTTGCTGCCCATGAAAAAGCTGAGAAATGTATGGTGATGTAAAGTTTTGTGGACCTGGGAAATAACGGGAGTTGCATCGGGTTGGAAAAGGCTATTCTAGACGACAGAAATAATCTCCATCATCCAAAAATGGTGGAACCTCCCATCGCTCTTTTATTTTCAAATGATGCCAAGAGCAGTGCCATGCCTATAATCCTTCTAGTTTTTTATTAATTTCCCTCTTTCCCCATCCATTGAAAAAACACTGCACAAAAAGCAAGGGCAGTGCGATTTCTATGCAGGCAAAGAAACTCTTATTCAAAATTAAAAGCAAACTTGGTTTTCTAAATTGTATACGTCTGAAACAGTGGTGGGTTTCAAATTTTTTTACTACCGGTTCTGTGGGTGTAGCCTGTTGGGCGTGGCATGGCTTGTTGGGCGTGGCTTGTTGGGTGTGGTAGGGGAAGGATACTGTAAAATCTCCATTCCCACCCCACTCCAGGGGAAGGTTACTGCAAAATCCCCATTTCCTCCCCATCAGCTGGGACATGGGAGGCAGAGAATAGATGGGGGTGGGGCCAGTCAGAATTTTTACTACCGGTTCTCTGAAATACTCAAAATTTCCGCTACCGGTTCTCCAGAACTGGTCAGAACCTGCTGAAACCCGCCTCTGGACTGAAACGAGGGGTCCTTGGCACTCTCTGAACTGGCTTGTTTTCTTGCAGACGTTTTATTACCCAAACTAAGTAACATCATCATTGCTGTTGATGTTACCCACTTTGGGTAATAAAACGCCAGCAAGAAAGCAAGCTAGCTCAGACAGCATCAAGGACCCCTCATTTCAACCCTCAGCTATAAATATAACATCTTAAATGAAAAAGAAACACATGCAAAAAGGAAAGAGATCTATTTGCAGGATTGGAGGAAGCATACAGGCTTTCAGAAGCATACAAACAAAATATTAATGGGCAAAAATACTTTTCACAGGTAGCAGGGTTTCCAAAATGATGATTAGAGCAACTTTTCCCCAAGCTACTGCCTTCTGGATGGGTGAATTCAGTGGTGGGATTCAGCCAGTTCGCACCACTTCGGGAGAACCGGTTGTTAACTTCCTGAGCAGTTTGGCAAACTGGTTGTTGGAAGAAATCATTAGGGCAGAGAACCGGTTGTTAAATTACTTGAATCCCACCACTGGGTGAATTACTGCAGCAATCTCTTCATTCCTAGCCAAGATAGTTAGGAGGCCTGTAGTCTAACACATCTGGAGAACAAGTCATGCAATTCTAAATGATTTGGGAAAGAAGGAACCCAGATGAGAAAAATAAAAGAACTGTTATGACTTATTAGCTAGCTTGGACTCCCCACAACATCTCTTCCAACTATTGGGGCCATGTTCTTTTTGACATGTATGTTTTCATTCTGTAATCTTTAACCCACTCACTCTTAAAACTACAGTTAATATATAGAATAAGAGACCTAATGTGACGTAGTCATTAATGTGATGCCCAAGGGCTGGGGAGATTCAGGCTCAAGTCTACTCTTGTACTTGGGGCTCACGGTTCACTGGAAGACTTTGTCTTCCTTGTAGGGTTATTTTTAGGAAGGTAAAATGGAAGGAGATCCCCCTGCATCCGTATATGTCTGAGAACAAAGGAAGAAATGATACGTTGTGTGTTCTAGTATCATGATGCAACCCTAGTGTTTACATATTTGTGTCCAATCTCAGTCACAAGTATGGAAGGGCAGGGTTTGCACTGTGAAGTCACGACATGCACTCTGCCCATTTTTTGTCATCATGGCCATCTATTCTGGTTTATGTATGTAAGCCAGGGGTGAAATGCTCCCGGTTCGGACCAGATCGCCCGATCCGGTAGCGATGGAGACGGGTGGTTCGGAGAACTGGTAACAAAAATCCCCCCCCCCCCATGCCCAGCTGAGCTGCACAATCATCAAAGGTTTTTTTTTTTACTTTTAAAAGCATTTTTTCTACAACCTCTTCAGCCGAAAAAATGCTTTTAAAAGTAAAAAAAAAAGCCTCTGATGATCGCACAGCTCAGCTGGGATCGTCAAAGGCTTTTAAAAGAAAAAAAGGGTTTTTTTCTTTTAAATGCCTCTGATGATCCCAGCTGAGTTTTTTAAAAAGCCTCTGCCAATCAGGCAACTCAGCTGGGATCGTCAGAGCCTTTTGAAAGCATTTTTTTACAACCTCTTCACCAAAGAGGTTGTAGAAAAAATGGTTTTAAAAGTAAAAAAAAAAAAAATGGCCACGCCCACACAGTCACATTACCCTCCCACCAAGCCATGCCCACAGAACCGGTAGTAACAAATTTTAGATTTCACCACTGACGTAAGCCATTTGATCCCAGGAACAAAAGGAAGATCACAATCTAACAAACAAACTAACACAACCAATTGGAAAGAAGATAAAACCAATAGTTTGAATAGAGGTACATCGGTTAGATAAAAGCCACAATCACATCAATGCATCAGCCTTCACATACACAAATTATGTAATTTGTGCCAGACATATTGCATAATCTGGATCATTAATTACATGATTGTGTCTAGACCAGTGGTAGGTTTCAATTTTTTTTACTACCGGTTCTGTGGGTGTGGCTTGGTGGGCGTGGCATGGCTTGGTGGGTGTGGCTTGGTGGGTGTGGCAGGGGAAGGATACTGTAAAATCTCCATTCCCTCCCCACTCCAGGGGAAGGATACTGTAAAATCTCCATTTCCTCCCCACTCCAGGGGAAGGTTACTGCAAAATCCCCATTTCCTCCCAATCAACTAGACTCGGGAGGCAGAGAATAGATGGGGGCGGGGCCAGTCAGAATTTTTACTACCGGTTCTCCGAACTACTCAAAATTTCCGCTACCGCTTCTCCAAAACTGGTCAGAACCATTGAAACCCACCTCTGGTCCAGACATATGTTATTGCTCCCCTCCCCCAGATATCAGAAAACGATATCATTAATGAATAATGTTATATATTATCATTCTTCTCAGCTGAAATCTGGAAAACAATAGACACTTGGCCCGGACGACGTAGTGGAGACATGATTGTCATCACTGTCATTCTCTCCGCTCTCTGTGGAGTCATCACCATTGGCTTCCTGAGCACCGTCTGCTACGAATGGTAAGTACCCACACCTAGAACCTTAGCGCTGCAAAGGACAGGGGATCGTCTTATCTACACCCAGAGAAAAATGAGGTGTTGGAGTCGTGAAACAGTAGACAAGGTTGAAGGGTGAAAACAATGCTGAAGAACATTGGCATAAATCAGGGGTCTCCAACTTTAGCAACTTTAAGACTTGTGAACTTCAACTCCCAGAGTTCCTCAGCTAGCTTTGCTGGCTGAGGAACTCTGAAAGTTGAAGTTCACAAGTCTTAAAGTTGCTAAGGTTGGAGACCCCTGGCATAAATATAGTAGAGGCAGGGGAGGCCCACCAACACTGGGAAGCCCAGAGCTCTCTGAGCTGCAGAGATCCAGCTGACCACCAGATGGTGGCAAAGACTTATCTGTATACAGATAACTTTGAATTTTCCAGAAAGCCCAAAGATCAGCCCTTTAAACACCAAATGAACGAATACTAAAGCTACCTTTATTATAGGATTACAATAGCAGAATCTTGCAAGTCTGAAAACACCTCCCCTTCCTTCCTTTATCCTAAAGAGTACTATGGAGGGTCAAGCCTGAGGCACTGATTTTCTCCACCTGAATTCCTTCGGTGTGGGCTGAGGTTTCTCTTATCTGACTGTTGCTTCACAAAATAATAGAGCTGGAAGGGATCTTGGAGATCTTCTAGTCCAGGGGTCTCCAACCTTGGCAACTTTAAGACTTGTGGATTGCAACTCCCAGAATTCCTCAGCCAGCAAAGCGGGAGACCTGATACCATTTCAGGCAGATGGCTGCCCAATATTTTCCTAAAACATTCTTTCCAATATTCTTTCTTAAAACCTCCAGTGTTGGAGCACCCACGATTTCTGATGGCAAGCCGTTTCTCCTTAATTCTAGGTTGCTTCTCTCCTTAATTAGTTTCCATCCATTACTTCTTGTTCTGCCCTCAGGTGCTTTGAAGAATAGGGTGACCCCTCCCGTTTTTTTTCTTCTTTATGGCAGCCCCTCAAATATTAAAATACTGCTATCATATCATCCCAAGTCCTTCTTTTCATAGCAATAGCACTTAGATTTATATACCGCTTTACAGCCCTCTCTAAGCGGTTTCCAGAGTCAGCATACCGCCCCCAACAATCTGGCTCCTCATTTTACCCACCTCAGAATGATGGAAGACTGAGTCAACCTTGAGCCTGGTGAGATTTGATAAGCAGAAGTAGCCTGCAGTACTGCACTCTAACCACTGCGCCACCGAGGCTCATCAGTCTGCCTTGGTTGCAGGTCTTCCTTCTCTTCCTTATTCTTACTGCCCATTACACCAAGTGAAGAGGTTTTCTGAATGGGGAGTCGGTGTGGCATTTGAGGTTCCCTCTTAACTCTAATAGAGGAGACCATTGCAAGGTATAAACCCATTTCTGCACTGCTGGCAGGAGAAAGAAGCACTGATGAGAACAGAAATCTCTCCGTAAGGGGAATCAACAGAGCCAAGTGCTGGCTAGGATTGTACAGGTAGTCCTCGAATTACGACCACAATTGAGCCCAAAATTTCTGTCATTAAGTGAGACATTTGTTAAGTGAGTCTTCCCTCATTTTACGGCCTTTCTTGCCACAGTTGAATCACTGCAATTGATAAGTAGTTAAACTGGTTGTTAAGTGAATCTGGTTTCCCCATTGACTTTGCTTGTTGGAAGGTCACAAAAGGGGATCAAATGACCTTGGGACATAGCAACAGTCATAAGTATGAACCAGTTGCCGAGCATCTGAATTTTGATCACGTAACCATGGGGATGCTGCAAAGGTCATAGCTGTGAAAAACGGTTTATTAAGTCACATTTTTCAGTGTCGTTTCAACTTTGACAGATAGTCCAAAATTGAGGACTACCTGTATAATCTGGGGCTTTGATTATTTGATCACTCCTATACAGTGAGGGACTTGGTGGCTCAGTGGCTAAGACTCTGAGCTTGTTGATCGAAAGGTCGGCAGTTCAGCGGTTCGAATCCCTAGTGCCGCATAACGGGGTGAGCTCTCATTACTTGTCCCAGCTTGTGCCAATCTAGCAATTCGAAAGCACGTAAAAAATGCAAGTAGAAAAATAGGGACCACCTTTGGTGGGAAGGTAACAGTGTTCTGGGCGCCTTTGGCATTTAGTCATGCTGGCCACATGACCACGGAGACGTCTGCGGACAGCGCTGGCTCTTCGACTTTGAAACGGAGATGAACACTGCCCCCTAGAGTCGGGAATGACTAGCACATATATGCGAGGGGAACCTTTACCTTTATATAGTGAGGAGAGTCAAAAGATGGGGACCATGGCTGTGCAACTGAACACATTAGAAAAAAAAGATAAGGATTTGACCATCTTGACTTTTTGACCCTTCTGCACACATCACTGAATCCAAGTGAGAATTAAATCATATTCCCCCTGCCACTGTCAATGATTGGCAAGATAATACGGTACAGTGGTCCCAGGACTGAAGAAATTGAGGTCAGGTTTATGTTAGATCAGTGGATGACTTTAGGCAAGTTTCAGCATATTTAGGACAGGGATATTTAGGACATATTTGGACAGTGGCCTCCAACTCACGGAAAACTCAGGATGGTCCATCGAAGAAATAAATTAACATGCAGCCGCTTCCTTACTCAAGCCAGTTTTTTTCTTTTTTGACAGCTTCAAGCGTTGGCGCCATGATCCATCTGAGAATCAAGAGGAGCAGCGCCAGGAGCCTTTCCAAGGCAGCCGCTATGACACCCACCACATTCCCCCTGCCCCACCTGGGCCCCCTCCTCCACCACCTCCTGCAGATATGCCTGGCTCTCATCTCACCCCTTCCTCTTCATAAGGCCCACAACTGCGCCAACAACCCCCTAACTGGATCGCTATGTCTTTCCATGGCTGTCAGACCCTACTCACACCCACAACTGTGCTGCTACATGCAATAAATGCTCTCTGCATTGTCATCTCCTTGGCTTTTCGTAGGAGAATTCTGGCCAAGAGGATGCAATACAATCAAAGCAGGCAATGCATTTACAGGTAGTCCTCGATTTACAACCATTTGTGTAGCAATCATTTAGAGGAGGGGTGGTATTCACTTACCTTCGCTACCGGTTCGCAAATGTGAGCGCGTGCACAGGGCCTTCCGCGCATATGCAGATCATCCAAAATGGGATGTGATTATGTCCGGGTGGGTGGAGCCTCCTACCGCCACCGCTACCGGTTTGCCCGAACTGGATAGAACCAGCTGAATACTACCACTGATTTAGAGTTACAATGGCCCTGGAAAAAGGGACTTACATCTGGTCCTCAGACTTATGACTGTTGCCGCATCCCTGTGGTTGTGTGATCAAAATTCAGGCACCTAGCACCTGGTGTGCATTTATGATGGTTGCATAGATATCCTGGGATTCTATGATCCCCGTTTGCAGCCTTCCCGGACAGCTTCTGACAAGCAAAGTCAATGAGGGAAGGCAGATTTGTTTAACGACTGTGTGATTTGCCAAACAACTGTGATGATTCGCTTAACAACTGTGTCAAAAAAGGTCATGAAATTGGGCATGGCTTATTTAATAATCGTCTTGTTTAGCAATGGAAAGTCTGGTCCCCGTTGTGTTCATAAGGATTGCCTGTATGTACCTTAATATGAGGTTGGCTCTAAGAGCAGCTGGGTTGGAGCCAAACGTTCGGTTGGGCAACCACGAAATTCTGGCTTTGCATGGTTGGCTCATACATATTTTCCCCCCATTACCTGCCCTCCTCCTCCAGTTTCCCAGAGTGCCTGCTTGGGTCTGCCAACTGACTTTCACAGGCCTTCTGCAAATGCTGGCAATAGGACTGCTTCCGAACTCCCATCTTTTGCTGAGATTACTGTTTCTCAACCTTGACAGCTTTAACTTGTGTGAACCTTAATTCCCAGACAAGAACAGAAAAGTCTTCAAGGGCAGTGTTTCTCTCAGCAACTTTACATTGCGTGGACTTCAACTCCCAGAATTCCCTACCTGGCATGCTACCTGAGGAATTCTGGGAGTTGGCCCATATATCTTCAAGCTGTCAAGATTCAGAAATGCTAGTCTAGTTTAATGACTTCTAGGTCTTTGTTAAGCCTGAAAGTCAGCTGGGTGACTTTGGGATGATAGAGAAAATAGGAGGTGGGAACAGTATGTGTGCCTCCTATACAGAAATAAAGCAAGAGATAAACAAAATAAATCAGATGCTTATTCTCCTAACATAATATGTTACGTTTCGTTGATGTTTCTATATATATGAATCATGAGGGCAATGGATTCTGTACATATTTCCATTGTGACGGTGTATAGCTGTATATCTCTTGTTCAACATGTTTTCAAATCAATGAGTTATCTTGTTTTAATGGCACACCTTTACAAGCCAAAGCAAAGCATAAAATAAAATAGAATCTTCAGAAATCATTTTCTGTGATAAATATATCATATCAGAGATTTTGCTTTCTGGAGTCCTTCCCCACAATTGAGTGAAAGCCCCTCTTTGAGGAGAACGACAAACACCGAGACTTACAAATGGCGCCATATTCTCTTTATAGTGAAAACAACATCTTTATTTATTTATACACATATCAAATTTGGAGATCACCCATCTTACTCACAAAGCAACTCTGGGCGATGTACAATTAAAACACAAAACATAAAAACCGTAAACCATATAAATATCATATTCATGCAGACATGGGTCTTTAAAATTCATAGCCAACCACCAAAGCAACTCAAGCAACAGAAGTGTGACACGCATCATTTGTGAGGCACCAAGTTTTTGCTATCTCCAAGATGCCTCCAGTTTAATTTGCTATGTGAACCTGTAGATCTCTCCAGCTTTCCATCTACAAGGAATCCATTTCTACTGCATAAAATGTCTACTGTGGCTTTATTTTTTAATCCCCTCCCCCCCCGGGTTAAAATAGGGAGTTTGGTGCATTTCAGTCCCTTTTTGTATTGATATATTCGTCCTTATTGAAGTTTTGATGTATTTTGCAGTAATGATCTCCTCTGTTGGTTTAAAAGAGAAAGTGATTCTCTTTGTAAAACCAATACATACCAGCTATTCTCCAAATATGCTGAACTTAATAATTAGCATGGTTAATGTCAATCTTGGTGGGTGGGTGGGTGGGTGCAACTGGCTTAGCATATTGTGTAAAGCCACCATATTTTATTAATTTAAGATTCAACCAATCCAGTAATCTCATTAAGTATGTTATAGCAGGGGTCTCCAACCTTGGCAACTTTAAGACTTGTGGACTTTAACTCCCAGAATTCTTCAGCCAGCAAATTCTGGGAGTTGAAGGCCACAAGTCTTACAGTTGCCAAGGTTGGAGACCCCTGTGTTACAGTATATGAAGATAGCAAACAACTACCTGGGCTATTTGCCTATAGGCCAGACACATGTGGTATTTGTGATACAACCTGATGTTGCACATCAATCAGTTTTAACAAAATAAAATAAAATGAGGAAAGGGAACCAGATGGCTTCTGCACCGGAGACAAATTCCTTGTGTGTCTAATCACACTTGGTCAAATAAACTATTCAATTCAATTTTCTATACTTTTTTGTTCTATGCTGGTTTTTGGACATAAAGAAGTTTAAATGTTAAATTTTTCAACCCTCCATGGGCATTTTTGAGAGGCGGGGGCAGGATATTAATTGAAGCATCCCCTGGAAGAAGTCTTTATATGGACTGCAGCTTATATGGAGGTCATTTGTCTCCACTGAAACCGGAAATAATTCTTAGGGTTGTGCCTGAATTGATGAGTAATGATTGTCCTGAATGAAAAACATTGATTCATTTGAATCGTGAAGCTCAGTTGACGTGCATACTTTCAAAGCAATTGCCACTCCCCACATGTCTTCTGCTACATGACAAATAGAAGTAGAAACCACTTCTGAAACTACTGGACCCAAGGATGAACAATGGCCAGGTCTCTCTCTCTCTCTCTCTCTCTCTCTCTCTCTCTCTCTCTCTCTCTCCCCCTCCCCCCTCCCTCTCTCTCACTCATAAAGTTGGAATTCACTGCACACTGCAGGAATCCAAATCAAATCCAAAGCAAGAACAGTCTCGTGGCTGCCCATGCTTGAATACACATATCAAACAAAGGAGAAACATCAATCTTTTTGGATCACTAGTTTCACCTGTCAAAGAGTTCCTGTTCCTGTTGACAATTTTTTTCCTTAGCTTTTAATCAGAACTTTTTTTCCTATAACTTAACATATTTAATATTTTTATTTTATTTATTTATATCCCACCTTAATCTTTTTCTACAAATAACTCCAAAACTTTTGAGTAAGACAAAATATGGTTTGATGTTTTAGGTGACATCCTATCAGGTATTTGAAAGAAAGCTATGAAAATCCTTTTTAGCTCATCACCCAGCCTCACCTTCTCTCTCTTTCTTTACCCAGAAAAGGGAGAACTTGCATTTGGCAATAATCTTGCACTTTCAGGGGACTTTTGAAATTATTCAATAGGTGAGTTGCCTCTGTTTATCCAAGGCAGATCCATCTTAAATCTTAAGTTTCATGTCTCATGTCTTCCCTAAGTTCCTATATGTCACTGTATTTGACTGACACAAAAAGAATAGAAATAATTTCTTTTCTAAACACGTTTTTAAAATAATAAATCCATCATAATCTGGATATGAAAATGCCAGTATTCTTAGCCCACATCAGAAGGAAGTCCCCTTTAAGACAACCTTATGCCTTGAAACAATGTTTTCAACAACCCCAAAATTGCAATTAATCATGTTGGCTTTATTGCCATATGGGTTGAATGCTAAAAAAAAATGCATGAAAACTGCATTTGGCATTTGCTTGCTTCAAATCTGTATGGATTTTTATCTTTGGTTATAAATGATTTTTAAATAAATCTTGGGGGAGGGGGAAAGAACACTGCTTTATTGAAATGATAGCATTTTACATGATAAATGAAGTCTGCTTTGGATGTGCAGGCAAATGTATACTACATATACAGCCTTGGTAGTACAGGGATTTAAGGCACCCTGTTATTAAGCTTATTAAGACCAGCTGCCTGCAATTACTGCAGGGTTCGAATCTCGCCAAGGCTCAAGGTTGACTCAGCCTTCCATCCTTTCTAAGGTAGGTAAATTGAGGACCCAGTTGTGGGGGCAATAAGCTGACTTTGTATAAATATACAAAAGGATGAAGGCTATTGCTGAGCACATTGTAAGCCGCCCTGAGTCTATATTGGTGTTTCTCAACTTTGATAAATTTACAACAACTTTAAGATGCTTCGACTTCAATTCCCAGAATGGAATGCTGATTGGGGAATTCTGGGAGTTGAAGTCCAGGCATCTTAAAGTCGCCGTGATAGAGAAACATTTCTCTACAAGTACTTTGATCTCTGCCACTCTCTTGAATTCCATAATTCACACAAATTGTGTCAACTTGGAATCTCTCTCAAACAATGTAAACTAATCTGATGCAATCAGCAGCTGAGAGAAAGATCTCCCAAAGTCATGCATCAATTTGTTGAAGCCAAGGTGAATTGGGTCAAAAAAGTCAAGAAGGCAATTATGATTGCACCATCAAGTTCCTTTCTTTTGATACATGCATTAAGATTTCACACACGTGCAAGGAGGGAGGACTTTATGGTGTGATCATGACTGTCCTTTTGATTATTTTGGATGCATACAAACACACATACACACAGCCTAGACACACCCTACATCCACAACACATAGATAAATTCAGATTTGAATAAGGAGGTAAATAAAGAGGAATCCGTGGGGAGGACACCAAAGATGAGACATGCACAAATGCTGCAACTTACGTATTTTCATCAGAATCAGCACACAAGTATGCAAGGGAGGTATTTGAGAACTGTCATCGTTTCCAGATCAATGTAGTTTGCTATAGTTCCTGCTGAATTGAAAGCAGGGTGCTAATTTCCTTCTCTGAGATATCCCTGGGTCTTCGTTTAATAAAACTCTTGCCCATCTCATATCTGATGTTATGTTGGTTTGATCCTTGTAGTTAGCAGGGAGCAAAATTAAACATTGGTTGAGGTTCACCTGAATTTAGTGGCCCATCTAGAAGAGTGCCTCTCTCTTCCTGCCTCCCTGGGGAATTTTGTATATGTATTCACATGAGGTGGGGATTGCATTTAGAATGGGCATCCACTCGTGAGAAACTTATGGCTCAATTTACATTAGCCTTCCCAAAGAAGCAAGAAGCATCTGAAATATATTTTCTGTTAGCCATATCATAGTAGAGTATAGAAGTGGGGAATTTTTCAAAATGGTCATAAAATTGGGCATGGCTTACTTAACAATCATCTTGTTTAGCAATGGAAATTCTGATCCCAGTTGTGTTCATAAGGATTATCTGTATGTATGAGGTTGGCTCTAAGAGCAGCTGGGTTAGAACCAAACGTTGGGTTGGGCAACCACAAGATTCTGGCTTTACATGGTTGGCTCATACATATTTTCCCCCACTACCTGACCTCCTCCTCCAGTTTCCCAGAGTGCCTGCTTGGGTCTGCCAACTGACTCTCACAGGCCTTCTACAAGTGCTGGCAATATGGCTGCTTAGATTACCGTTTCTCAAGCTTGACAACTTTAAGAAGTATGGACTTTGTTTCCCAGACTCAAACAGAAAGTTATGGTTTAGGGCAAGTCTTCAAGGGCAGTGTTTCTTAATCTCAGTTGTGTGGACTTCAACTCCCAGAATTCCCCACCTAGCATGCTGGTTGAGGAATTCTGGGAGTGGGTCCAGATATCTTAAAGTTGTCAAGATTCAGAAATGTTAGTCTAGTTTAATTACTTCTTGGTCTAAGCATGAAAGTCAGCTGGGTGACTTTGGGCTGGTCACTGTAGCTCAGTACACCACCTCTATTCTATTTTTTTCTTGGTCTTTCCTGGAATTGCTCCTGTTATTCCATTGAATTCCATATCTGAAATACTGAAGGTGTTCATTTTTTTCATATTTAAATCATATTTAAATCTTTTAGATATTTTGATTTTTAAGATTCTTTATTAATGCAATAAGGTTCAGCCAGTAACAGTAGCAATAACAGAATTGGAAGGGATCTTGGAGGTCCCTACATTTATTATTCTAGTCATTTAAAAAAACAGGGTAAAAATGTAAATTTATGTAAATCAACACATTCCCATCAGTTGTCTTTGAGATGCTGATTGCGGAAGGTGGATATCTGGAGCTTGCTAAGTTGCGATGATCTGAGCTGTCAAAATTTGCCAAAATGACCTGTTTCACAAAAGGCTGGTCTCTATTTAGGAAACATTTAATTTCATGGCCCTATGATTTTTTAAAAATGAGAAGTGTTGCTAGATATGTTGTAAACAGTTGGTCCCATTTTCTCCAAAACTTCTGCTTATTATTGTGCTTGTCCATGCATGAATATTGGCAGGCACACATG